TCTCCTTTTACGGTCTCTGGATTGGTACTGATGTTGCACTTACAAACAATAAGAATTAAAAAATAAAAGCTGTTATGAATTTAGTATTCTGTAAGAAAGTAAACAGAAGCATATTCTATTAGGGTCTTCAATTGCATCCCTCTCTACTAGGTGAGAGCTTTGAGAGCTGTTGCTGTCATTTTAAGCAACTTCCTTTTTGGCAGCTGACATCTCAGTTTGGCTCCAGCTCCAGTGAAATCTGTCTGTTTGACAAGAAGCCCAGAGCTTTGGGCTTCTCAGCCACAAAACAGAGCTGCCATTGGCTCCTGACCGCCTCAGTTGTTCAGGCAGTGGGTTAGTGTTGGATTGAGAGAAAAGGTAGAAAAGCAGCAGTGATTGCTGTGATTCTGCCAAGTAGGACATGTTTCTGGATCAACATCTTTTGTTGGTCCTGGAACAACATACCTGTCTTATCCCTATAGACCTAAACACTAGAACTAAAACTAGTGCAAATTGCAAGACAAGCTCGTCTAGTCAACACAATTACTGAGGGTAATGTTTGTTAACTGTTTTTTTTTTGGTAAGATAATCATAACAAGGTTTGTTGATAAAGGAAGCAGAAAGCGGGAAGCGGAAAACATTCAACGTAACTTTCATTTTGTGGTTTCATTTTGTTCATTTTATTAAAGTAAAGCGACAGCCCCTCATGGACGACTGCCACAAACTAAAATAAAGCCCCAACACTCAGCTCTGGTCTTCTTTCTTCCGTCACTGTCATCACTCTTCTTTTTATCCTTCCGGAGCTCCTCCGTGGGACTCAAGACCGGTGTTGGCACACAGGTGACGCTCATTAACACTCGCGCAACCGGCCTCGCTCCATTCCCAAGGCTCTCAGCCCCACCCCGCTTGCCACAATAATTAAACATACTGTTGACAAAAATATGATTATTTTAAATACCCAATCATAGTAGATAATGTTAGGAATGACAAGCTTAAACATCGTGATATTACAACTTGCATACACACAAAAAGTTTTGGATGCATATGAGTGAACATGAACAAACTTGCCATTATGTGCTAACCATAATGTACAGTTAAATTTCCGTAAAAACGCAGCTTAGGGACACAGAAAAACGAAAGCATAGACTAGAAGACTTCACAACATCATAGTGCAATAATTAGATAGTTGTATGAGGAGTAATTGTGTGATATTTTAGTCAGAGAAAAAATTTACTAAAATTGAATGTGAAAAAGAATGACAAATTTAATATTTTTTCTGCACAAGAAAAAGACTAAAGCTAACACAACTAAAAAAATCTAAAAATTACCACTCATCATCACCCTTTTATCTTTTAAATGTCTGACTATTCTGGTACAAAACGGTCCAGATTGTGACTGTCTTGCACTGCATGACTTAGTGGGAACATCTGTGAGACACAATCAAAGTTGTCACAGATCCTTTGAAACATTTTAAACTGAAAATCTAGCCGTCCCAGTCCCAAGCCAAAGTATGATGAAATATATCAGTGTATTTTTTTTTTTTTTTGGGAGCCACAAAGACATTAAAGTAGTGTTTCAGATCTTCTATGTGCCTTTGAGCTCTCAATTGAGTTGTCAGTCCATCTTTTCATGACAACACATCAAAACACAATGTCAAGCTTAGGGCAATTTCTTTTGCTCTTGCTAGTCAGAATTAGCCCTCTGTCTGTCAATATGTTTTTCCCCACTAAGCACAGGATTTTAGGTCCCTTTAAATTTAAAACATTCAGAGGACAGTTGTACTTGAGGCTAAAAACAGAAGTTGAGACAGAGGTATTGAGAATGGAGGCTCATGCTGTTCCAGTACAGCACGTCTCTTTTCCCACCCTCTGTAAAACCAATTGAGGGACTGACGTTTAGGGTGCCATAGCCGAGAGAACTTGTGATGGGGAAATCCATTAGTAACAGAGCTTGCGAAATACATTTTTTGTTTAGGCACATAAAAAAAAACATGTACTTTGAAAATTCCAAATTTCTCATAATTCCACACATACACACCCAAAAACCTATCGGTCTGAATAAGCAAAAGTTATTTTAAAAGGTATAAAAATATATAATGCAGGTGGGACCTAAAGAGTAGTGTGCCTTTAAACTAAGGGTGTTTTCACACCTGAAAGTCTGCACCAAGGTTCGAACCAAAGTTCATGTTTTGATACATTTTATACATTCGGTAAGTTTTGGTTTGGTTTCACATTGCAATTATGCGAGCGCACTAAAGAACTTTACATGACATACTTGCGTCCTATCGCCATCATCTATGTGGGCTGCATCTTGACATTGATTGGTTTGTAAACGGACGTTCGTCTGACGTCAGCGTGTTGTCAATTCGGCGGGTAACTTTGACAAGAATGAATGAACAGACGCATATCGTTGCCACTAAACTGTTATTATTACGGCATTACTACCTGCAGCACCAACTATCCTCGAGGCTAGTTCAAATTCGCCAAATGAACGTCCTCGTTGTGCGAACATTTTATCGTCTCCGGCAGGAAATAAGGAGAAGACTGCAAGCAATCCTGCGAGAACCACCGGAACTTCCTGTAAATGGTCTGAAAGTCCGAACCATACAGAAAATGCTTTCACACTAGAAACGAACCAAACCTTTCCTCAGTTCGATCGGGACTGAGACTACCTCTTTTCGTCTGACCGAATTTTGTCTGTTTGGTCCGGACCATGGTCCGGGTGGAGGTTTCACACCTGTAATTTTGATTCGGATCAAACTGAAAAGTCCGAAAATCCGGACCAAACAAGGTAGGTGTGAAAGGGCCCTAAGATACGCCTGACAAATTGGACTGTTGTTGTAAAAAGGTATACATTTCCACAGCATTACTAACAGTCAATCACATGTGAAAGCATCCAAATCAGACAATTATACTGCTGCAAAATTCAACAGACAACTTCCCAGAGCCCAATTCCATTTAGAATAAAATGCCCTCAGGGACCACAAAAAAAAAAGTGTATTTGGGTGGTGAATTCCCTTCGGCTTGCTAAAGTGACTGAAATGCATGAGGAAGACACTGTGTCACATTAGCCTAGATCAGCGCAGCACCTATTTCACAGAGGTGTGAAATAGCTTTTCTGTCACTCGTCACAGACCATTACACTCTCCGTTTCTGTTATGTTTAAACAACTAGGAGACAAGGCACTTTAAAGGCTGGGATCAGAAGTGTAGTTTAAACATTCCAATAAATCCAATGAACTTTCAGCCGTATAAGCGCTTTCAATAGCTAACTTGTCAGAATCCAGAGACAAGAGAAATCATTGTGAACTTAAAGAATAGGATTGCAGCTATTGTTAGCCAATTTTTTCTTTTTTTTTTCAAAGAAAACAATAGCATTGCCATTTCGTTCCTTAATATACACCCTGTCAGAGTTTCGAGCAATGGACACACTTATATTTCATAAATAAAAGCTATAAAGTAGGAACAACCCAATGACTGGATGAAAGCAGTATTACTTTGAACAGAGGGATATAAAGCAGGGACTTCTGTGTCTGGTCTTAATATTATGCCCCTTTTTCTTCACACAAGACCAAAGATTTCAGCTTCATTCAGTTGCAGAGCTCAAGAAATGGCTGTGACCTAGTTCACTCAGCATCAAGCACATTCCCTTCTGTTACAATACCATTCAAACTCCTGTAGAACAACAAAGACATTTCATAAAGGCATTTTTAATAATAAGACACCAAGAAAGCAGCTACAACAAAACTCAAATTGATTTGCAAGCATCTGTATGTGCACGAAATGATAACGAATGTGGTTTGTAGATACCTTTTGGGTGAATTTAAAATATGAATGAAACCCTATAAAGCACAAACAGCAGGCTCACAACCAGAATTACCAAGTTCGCTTTTTTATATGGCCTGTTTTTTCAAGAAGTCGCTTATTGATTTGGACAGTCGCAGGTTGCATTTTTTGGGGGCTTACTTCCAGAATACAGGTGAGTATTTGGGCTTGTTATTGGTTGGCACTCATAGGACAAAATATATGACCACTTTATCATTAATAGTGTGTGATGATAATGTTTCTCTGTCTGCCAATCTGTTTGAATGAGTGCTCTCCCTTTTCCCATGAAATGGTGCTGTTATTCATGTCAGTTGCCTGTTTTAAGACTAAGTTACAGAACAGAAGTTACTTAAACGTTTTTCTTTACAAATAATATTTTGACATCATAATATCTGCATTTTCAGACAAGGTTGCTTATTTCTCTAGTCCTGCAGAGTCTAGTTCCAACCTGCTTCAGCACACCTGCCTTTGTATTTTCAAGCGCTCCTGAAGAGCTTGATGAGCAGATTCAGGTGTGTTTGATTAGGGTTGGAACTAAACTCTGCAGGACAGTGGCCCTCCAGGAGCAGGATTGAAGACCTCTGCTCTAGTGAAACCTGGCAGCACTGCTCAAAACTGCATTGCAACATTTCTCAAGACAAAGGCGGCAAATAATGATAAAATACAAAATAATCTCTAGTGACATTTGACTTGATTGCAATCTGTTAAATTTGTGTAAAAATATCCAAGACAAAACGTAGAGGACAGCAAGAGACAATGCAGAAGTAAGAGTTGCAATTTCAATGACTTGGTCGTTACAGAGATATTTATGGGGCAGTTCTGATTCCAAACAGCTTTCAGCTGTTTCAGATGAACCAATCCATTCAAAGTCCCATCTGACTCAACTGCCCTCTAAATGTCTAAAAGAACGCACAAATCACAGTTTGAGGTGACATGTTATTAACGTAGGTAACTATAGTGATTTTTCTTTTGCAGTTCTTTCCTCCTGTGCGCTCTAAATTTAGGCCCTAAGGTGGTATGAGTAAATGAAGCCTTAAATTCAAGTCACTGGTTCTTCTGTTCTGTCCTTCGTTCTGTATTCTTACTAGAGTTATTAGATCCAGAGCTGAACAGGACTTGGGAATGAAATTCTTTATTACCATGACCAAAACTAAAAACAAAAGCTAACATTGATTAAAACAGCGTGAAAAAGTATATGGAAGGACAGCAAATGTGTACTTTATGCTCACCAGAATTAGATCCCTAACGCAAGTCTTGGAACACAAACTGAGCCTTGGCTAAAATAATAAAAACAAAAGTCTTAATCTTGAGGGCAGTTAATCAGGTGTTAATCATTTAAAATGCACATTCCGCAACAGACTTAAAGTAGGAAGGCAAGAGTAATATCAACACCCTGAGATATCTTTGGTCTTATTCTTTCTCTGGAAGCGTGTGTCCAAAGGATCAAATCCCCTCTCTCGGGCCCCAAATATGGCCCAGCTGGGGGTCTTGGCCATATAGTCCATTGCAGAGAAGCTTGTGGTGCCTCCGCTCTCATCGTACTCTTGAATGAGCTCCTGGAAGCGCTCATAGTCAATCCACGTCCACCACTCCCCATCGACTTTGAACTGCAGACACACAGGAAAGAAAAGAGGTAAGAAAGACAGCAGATCAGAGTACTGTGATGAACAACACACACACACAAACACACACACACACACACACACCGGAAGATTGGAGTGAGTCTCCCTGCCTGACAGGCGTTCACTTTGACTAATCCAAACTTATACACTGAAAACTGGGCAAAGCTCTGTTACTGAACACCAAGACAAGCAAATCAGAGGAAGAGGGCAAAGGAAGCTGCTTTCAGAGAACACCGAGCCGGTGGTCTTTCATTCAAAACACTTTTGTAGCCCACACTCAGTTCTTGAAGTCCTCAGAGTCCACACTAAAACGCTGTACATTTCGGTACATTAGGAGTGCAGGCACTCTTCAGTACCCATCAGAATCGCAAGATATCAAATGGGATACCCTACAATCTTCAGAACAATGCTGCATAATTGTCCTCATCAAGAGAGTGCCATCTGGGGTGCGGTCTGTGATGGGTTAGAAGTAGAATTCAGTTTAAAACGAGTTAAAATGCCGGATATGTGGTCTTCGGCCAGTCCTTTGGCAAAAAACTTGATTCAATCAGTCTCGACCAATCTCGACTTTGGTTGGACAAGCTTTGAGGGTGTAGGCACAGCCTAGTTCTGCTTGTTTTCCCACCCTATACATTTAATCAGTGCCTCTAAACCATTCTCCAACACACAGACATAAAGAGACCTAGTGGGGAGCTGCACTGATTACATTTCACACTGTACTGATGAGATGCTGTACTGTGATCCATGCTCAGCATGGTGATGCAATCAGCTATAGAAACCAAACTCCTGTTCCTCCCATCTTTCGACATGCCCTTTCTTTCTAAGATCTCCTCATTGCCACAAAATCGATTTAGGTGTAGTATATTTTGCTTTGAGGACATTGTTGAGGTTGCTGATTGGTCTGCTAGAGGCTAGGGTCGAGGGAAAAGCCTTTAGGAGAGAAAGACAAGTCTTGGAAGTGAATAGAACCATGATGTAAGTTGAACAAACTCAGGGTTGCGGGATTAGTTGAGTTGACAAAACCAAACCAATCCAACCAGGCTTTGTTGGTACCATGATGCTGATCATCAACTTTCTCTGTCAACTCAGACTTTGATCCTGAGTTTAGGAGTTTAGGTGTGACATCAGTAGCGAACAGCCAATCACATGCTGAGCAAGAGTGAAACTCATTCAAAACTCATTGAAATGTATTTCTCGCGAGAGAAGCAGCGCAATTCACTTATTAAATAAAAGTATTAAAATATTACAAATTTAAACAAACTTACACAGCAAAAAGAAAATAGCTGTCTATGAAAGAGGACAACTAAAAGAAAAAGTCTCGCTACTGTATATCAGTGCAAGTAAAAGTTGTGAAGTTATTTTATAAAGTTGATAAAGGTATAGAGAGAATTGAAGATTTAAGCTCACATGTAGTCATTTTATAGCTTCATCTATTGATTCTAAAGTGTATTTATACTACCTTTATATATTTATTCATTTAAACTCTGCGTAATAATACTCGATGAACTAATATTGTACATGTGTGATCGATTAAGGGTATAATAATTACATAAATAATATCTAAATCATACAAATTTATTATTCTAAATAAGCATTACTAAAAGCCAGACAATTTTGTCTTTAAAAATCATTTGCTATGTAGTGACCTTTAATTTGGAGTAGAAACAGGTGGAGTTACTTTATCGCATCAGACATATGTCACTTTGCTCACAGCGGATTGGTCCAAGTTCGGTTTGCAACCTCTTACCTGGAACATAACCTGCCCCGGACCAGGTTAGCCGTGGAGCGTGAGTTACTATGGCGATGAACACGGCTAAAACCAAACCACTTTCATGGTGCCTAAAACCCAGGGTTGGCACAAACTAAACTGAAACATACCTGGCTAGCCACCTAAACCGGCTTCATGGTATAGGCCCCTGGTCACGTGCAACACAACTGAGAAGCAAACATACCTTTCCACTACTGAAAATTTCAAGGCCACCATGTCCTCTTAACGCTGTGCCAAGCATAGGATTATTGTCCTTGTGTCATATTATCTCTGTTTAGCTGCTTACCTGAAGCTTCCTAGAGGCAGCCTCAAAGGCTATCTCAGTCTACAGTCAGTCTGTAAAGCCTTAAGCAGTTTGCATCCTCTGGGGAACCTTCTTCCTCAGCTGCATGATTTCATTAGAGTAATTTGCTGAGGTGAATCCCTCCATAGCCTCCTTCACAGATACTCAGCAGTCAGAAGATGAAGGCTCCCATGGGACACAACTCGTCTCTCCAAAAAGGCCACGGATACATCCCCAACCACTTTTAAGATCTCTTGCCCTCATTGTCATCCTTACACACATGTGGTGGTTCGGCTCAGCATTCCTCATATATTACTCACATTAGGAGACTACTGTTGGGAAGTAACTAAAAATAACATTTATACTAGGTTATTTATACTTAGCAAGATGACTGGGCAGAATTAAAATCACTCTTTTCTCTCCCAATCCCCATCTCTGGGATGTCCAGTTGACCAATATGATAAACAACAGCTATTAACTGATATAACTGATACAGGAATTAATAATATGCTATAACCCTAATCAATATCCTCATAGTGTTTGTGTCAGATACATATCCCAAAAGGCAGTAAACTATAAATTATGGCTCAGCAAGCTATAGTTTCAAAGCATCTTCCTCAACATAGACCAAGATGAAGATAGGCAGGAATACTGAACTTTAGATGCCATATAAGAGAGTGGGAAAGTGGAGGACCTTTTATTTTTCTAGAGCAAGATTACTCACATATGCCACACCAATAGATGGCCACACCATTGAGAGAGTGCACTTGAAGTTCCATTTATTTGTAAAATTGCTTCTGCGTAGCTAACAGGGAGCACCAAGCATATGAAGCCATAACGCAAATGTGGCTTTGGGATGCCACATCACCCAACACCGATTGCAGCTGCTCTTTCACTCCCTAAACACATCCCAAAAAATGATTGATGGTCTGTTCTGTAAGGTGTGCTAAGGGGTTTCTACAGTCTGATGTAGTTACTGTGAGACTACTGAGTAGTCTCACAGTAACTACTGGGATTCTAAAGTTTAAATGGGTAATCTTGTTTATGAATTAATGAATATTCATAAGGCCAGCTAAGGCTTTTGAAAAATGCAATATGCTTCAAGGCTGCATCTCTTATCAGTGGTGCTTGCTAAGGCAATCAGAAAGATAAAAAGGGCAAAGACTTAAACTGAAAGAGGGACACGAACCATATCTACTCACCTGAATATCACGCAACTCTTTTGACCTGGACCATAAAGTAATCACACAGAAATCACCCAAAACCACCCTAGAAAGGACCTAAAGCAGCAGCATCTGTGTATTATGATAGTGTGTTTTGCATGGGCCATCCACAATTAAGAAAATCAAGCTTCTTCTACTTGTAAAACTCTTGATGGATTTACATCCTTGTTTAACCCTGCATTGATTTCCTTCCTATAGAAAGTTGAGCTCAAGGGAAATAGTTCAGAACAAGGTGAGAGAGGGAGGGCTTTATAAGAACACAGTGCACTAACTTTATGAGAATATAAGCTGTCACCTCCACACAGGGAAGAGCTGTAAATCCATTCAGAGGGTCTTACCTCGTCAAGAACAATGCGGATAAAGGGCGAATGTTTGCAACCCTGAAATAAGAAAAAAACGAATGCGGCAGCTAAACAAAGTCAATGCAAAGAAATACTGTCGGTGGCCTTCCAAGCACTAATGTGAAAAATGGCTTCTTATTACAGGAACAATGGGTCTTTTTAGCACCCTTGTGAGTAACGGTCGAGCCGAACAGAGGGCGAGAGAGAGTCCCTGTGCGGTCTGCGGTGACACGGGTAGAAATGAATTTTCACATCATATTCAATGCCTTTTCATTCAGATGTCTGTCACATGCATGTTAAAGAGCTCTTTTTGCAGTGCTTAAGGCAGGGCAAAAAAACCTTGCAGAGGAAGGCAAAGAAACTCAGTGCTAGAGACTGGCTTTATCACGGTGTCATTTGAATTTCAGAAACAGGACACTGTGATACTTGAAGATGGAAACAAAGTGATACGAATTTGGATACAATGGGGGTTTGCTTTTAAAGTTTTCACATTACACCCTTACATTAAGTAGGATGAACATATCTGTAAAAATTTACTGGAGCATCTTCCCCAGCGAATCATCAGGGACATTGTGCACGTTCTACCCATAATATAATTGTCTCATTAAGCCACAAGGAGGCTGAAATGCTGTCCCGTATGGCCTTAATCTTCATCCAACAAACAACACGCCTATGAAAAGAAAGTCGCTTATTAGTCTTGTGATGCTGTTATCACTATATTGACACACTACTCTCATAAGTCTTGCATCCAACCTCCTCGGCTGCCCACCAACAAACCTCTTCGCCTTGTTTCCAAACAGCTGATGGTGAGGCAGTGAAGGACTGAACACCTTCTCATGCCTGTGTGGGCTTGCGAGGAGGTTGCTCTGGGGACTCACACTAACTATGGCTCTCCACTACTGCAGTACTCATTTATACAGTAGCTGTCATGGTTGTAGCTCTGCATCATGAATTGACAGGAATTGAATGGAGGGGTTTTAACAGATGTAAACTGGTGAACACATAAAGGGTGTAAACAGGTGTAATTATAGTCCCTTACACATAAGAGAGCTCACCATGCCTGGGGAGAGAAAGGAAGCTGAATAAACTAATGGGATATTTAGAAATCAACATGTTCAACAAAATGAGGTAAACAGAATGGAAATTGAAACACAAGAGAAGTCTGTTGCAGTATTAGGCACCTGTTACTTTAAGGAAAAAAATTCCGGTTGTCCAAAAAAAAAAAAAGAAACATTAATAACAATGCAACCAATTAGAATGGTTTCATAAATGTTGGGTGCTTCAAAGCACAATATGGAGTTAACTGGGTAAAATATGGAGCAAAAGATGCTTTTCAAGTCCAAATTAAAAAACAGAAAAAGAATAAAACATTTTAACATGGATAGTTCATCCGAAAATCCTGCCATTTATTTTTTTAACACAAAGCGATATTTTGAACATTATTTTTTAGAAATTAGTCCGATAAAATGTTTGACAGACAATGAGCTCTGAACATGATGTACTACATACTGTACGAGAGGGTTTTCTCTTGATAAATATGTGTGCAAGTCTTGAGTTTCCTATTCTACATTGTCTGTAAATGACTTGTTCTCACTGATCATTAAAAGAAAATGCACCCATATTTGATGAAAATTGTTTATGTGTGTGTTGATGTTTGTGAATAAAGTAAATAAAGGCTTGAATTTTGATCCGTTCATTATCCAAAGTGATAGTGTTGCTTCAGAAGTCAAGTTGTATGGATTAAATCCTTGTTTAACCCTGCTTTACATGCTATAATTTCCTTCCTAGAGTTTAAAGGATTTGGAACCCATTGACTTCCATAATTTGAACAAAAGCAGCTGAAACATTCTTCAAAATATCTTCTTTCACAGGAGAACAAAAAAGCATACAGGTTAGGGACAGCATGAGGGTAAGTAAATGATGACAAAATTATCATTTTTGGGTGAACTATCCATTTAAACCAAACTTAGATGGTTTGCCAGTCTTAGCTGATAAAAGCTGGTCTCCCAGTAAGGCTAATCAGGTCTTCAGTTGACCAGTTGGTTTTTCACAGCTTGGCCAACTCACAAGAGCCCAAAACCCCTCTAAAACCAGTAAACAAAGCCTGACCAGGCTGGGAGGATCTGCAAAGACTGGTTTAAGACGTTTTTTTGTTTCACTGTGTGTGAGAACACAGAAATATTCACCATATAAATCACATGCAGAAATGTATGGTATTTGATTTCAGAATACAAATAGCAAATCATAAAAGGATATTGAAGCACCATATAACACTTGCACATAAATATGTTTTTTGTTTGTGAGAGAAGAGCGCTGGTAAGGGCTCACTGCCCACGCAAACCATTAGAGAAGCTGTCATAAGAAACAAATGTAAAACAAGAGCGGCTGCAAGACTGACTAGTGCTGTGTCAGGAGACAGCATAAAAACACAGGAAAGGAAGGTTTAACCCTTCACCTGAATGGCCGTTTAATGCAAGTGCCCATATCAACACTTTCTTTTCAATGACATTTACAGAAATGGCAGTAGCATCATTATTTTTAACACCTTTAAGTGGTTGGAGAGAGAAATTACAGTGCGAGCACGGTTTCTGTGGAGTAGAACAGCAGCTTTGAGCCAAGCTTGTCTGTGCAGGGTTACCTTGTGGTGTGCAAGTAACAGACAATTGGAGTGCTCGTGTTCGCAGGCAATTTCATAATTTGGTAGCAGGTTGGCCAGCTGCTGCACGAAGTAGATGACCTCCTCGTGCCAGGGTACGTTGGCCATTGTCAGGCTACTGGCTGAGCTCTCGCCACAGTAAGTCACTCCCTGGATGAATGGCAAAAAGACAAGAGGGACGAAGGTATTAAATGCCATGCAAAAGTTACAAACATTGCATGATAAAATCGAACAAAAGTATACAAATAAAACAAATTCACTTATCAGATAATCTATTTTCTTCTGTTGTAAAATATAAAAACTCATCTAGCAACCTCAAAGCCCATTGGTATCTTTAATTATAGAGATGCATATTAGTTTAATATTGGCTACTGATAATTAGATAGAATGTTTTTATGAACATTTATTTCCATAAGAACAAAAAAATCTAATATTTATTTAATTTAATAAATGAATTATCAAAAATATCTAATATCGGCCTGTAACCAATATGATACCTAAATGTATTGTCCATCTTTTAAAAACTTATTTCAGTGTTTTATTTTTATTGTATTTTATTTAGACAAAATATTTAAACATTAGCCATTTATCAGTTAGCAGCCATAACATGAACATATTCCATCTTTTTTTTTTATTGTATTGGTAATGCAGATGTTTAATAAAAGCAATAAGCTGTTCAAGGTCACACACTACAGTAATTATACCATAGTTAAATGAGTTTTAGGTTCTCTACTTTGGGTTGCACGTAAGACCACTCATCCATTGTAAAATACAGCTAATATTGGCCCCGTCTCTGATTTAGATTTAACTCTGCCTTCCTTTTCAAAAAAAGGGACACAAAAACCCTCTGAATCATATCAGCACGCACACAGCCCAAGGACACAGCGGCGCATGGAGGCTGATTTGGTTTTTCTATGGATGATTGAGACTGAGACGACCAGATCATCTCATTCAACACCTACACACGACAGGACAGCATTTACGTCACACCTCATAGTTGTTGCTGTGATCAGGACAAACAGGCTATGAGGGCTGCATGTACCACATGCTGGGAATCAATGAAAATTCAGTTTAAATTAATAATACAATTTCTGTCATCATGAACTCTGGTGTCTGATTGGATACTGAAACAAACTGGTGTCAAGTCAGGTCACGTACTCCATTTGAATCTTCACACACAATGAAAACTAGTCATTAATAATCCTTTGCAACCAAACAAGTGACGACACACCGCTGGATGAAAACGAACTCATTTGTAGCACGGCCACCATCAGTTCATGGGTCTGCTTGTGTGTAGGAGTAGCTGTGCTGTTGAAAAGACATTACTTATTCTGTGATCGAGTGAAAACCCATTCTGTGAGGCTTTATCTTATTTCAGTCTATATCACTAGGAGCTGTTAGCACTCTATTATGCTGGACAATCGATAGATGAACATCTCCAAGGCGTTGGGAGAATCGAAAAAGAGACGTCATATGAAAGAGATATCAGATACAACGTAACTGTAAACAATCCATCAATGACTTAAATGGTTCAGAAATGAACACACCACATACAAAATAATGGAGATTAAAAGCATTAATTCTAAATAATGTGAATACTGAGTGCAATAATCCATTAAACATTAATCACAAGAGGCATTATGTAAGTGAATGATTCATTCAGAATTTCCCACAGCTTTTTTTTTTTACCTAAAGCCAATGGCTTATAATTACGTATTAAGTATAATTATGAAGATATTCATAATGAGAGATTATGTACAATACTGTTTTTTCATAACTGATACAGATTATTGTGGGATGGTCAAATAATTAATATTCAGAACTCTGAAACTTTGAAAATAACTTAAGTCATACAATTATAATAATAGGTGTTATATTGTTTTGATGGATTTTGATTTTGAAAACTGATTTGCAATCTCTGTTTTGTACATTTTGTCTCGTTTCTAATTATTAGGCTACACATTTCAAAAAAATATTTTCATTTATTTTTAATATTTAAATTATTTAAATAATTATTTAAAAATAATTATTTAAAAAATGCATTGTTACTTTACATGTGAATACTACTGTTGGTGTTAGTTATATATATATTGGTTAGCCTGATCAGTTTCTCTCCCTTCACAAGGCCATGCAAGCAACGCATTACATATTTTCACAAATAGAGAAGAAAGCAGACTTATAATACACTATAATACTCATAATCATGGTCACACATTTAAAAAGTATAATGCAGTATAACAAATTAAATTGCTTGTTTTTCATGTGTAATATGTATTAATGCATTATAGTCTTTACAGGTATAAATATGAGCAGATAAGTATTACAATGCATTATGACTCTATTAGCATCCCGGTGCATTTCATTCCTCTCTGATGATAGAGAGGACAGTGGAAACTGGAAATGAAAGGACAGGTTTCTTGCTTTCCTCATCCCAGCCTTCTGGGCCGTGGCTGATGTTCAAAACTGATTTTCGGGGTCTGGAACAGATTTAATGAGCGCAGCTCTTATCTGGCAGCTCTGCAACCATAGAAAATAATTATTACCAACAAAGATGCTTTGATAAATCAATGGGGCGAGGAAAATGAGGGCGTTTCTCTGGCCCGTCTACGCCAACTAACAATGCTACAAGATTTCCTGTCATGGACTAACAATCTGACCCTAATAAGCCAACCAAATGTTCAACACTGATAAAACAGTTTAGTGTCCTCAGTTTAGTGTCCTCAAATGTCCAACCTCTTGAATGATTACGGTTGAGATCCTTTAGGCGGCCAGTGCAAACTGTCCATCTTTGTGTCGGGACTATCACCTCTGGGATGCTCTAATTGTGCAGGAATAATGGTTTGATCAATAACTGCCTAAAGAGAATGATTCCTCAGCGCTTGAGGAAGGAACAGGACAGACTCTGCGTTACACATGGCGTCCTTAACACTACAAATCCAAATTGTATTACATTTTATTAGGGATTTGCATAAAACATGCTCAAAACCATGTCCATAAGTGCTTTCTGCATACACTTTCCTTTCATCACACTCAGCAAACATGACGCTCTCTAAAGATGCACTCTTGCCTGCAAGATCCTGGAATAATGCCAACTGTGCCATCCTCAAAACAAGTTCAAACACCTTTAATACAGACCTAGATTAGAGACCTCTGTTTGGGCAGATCTACATACACGTATCTGCATCTTTATGAAGTGGAAACTTCCAGCTCAAGCTTACTCTTGTTTCTTACTCCTTTACTGTATATACACAGTAAATACATATCACTATCTCTAATGTGTATTATTTCAAACAAATGTAAAAATAAAATGTAATAACTTTAATCTAACAAAACCCAATAAAATAGACAACAAATAAAAACATCTGTTTGACAGTTTGAGTAAATATTTCTCTAGGAGTGTGCAGCAGGTCTGGCAGATCCTGCATTTAACAAAATAAAAAAAGAAGGGCACATAAAGGTGTTGGGAAGTGTGAGAGGTAAGGACGGAGCAGCTGTTGGGCGCTGTAATTACTGCAGGGGCGAGGAGCTGCACTCGGGCCGAACAGCTGGAGGGGGCTGAACGCCTCCATAACTCACAAACATATCAAACTTGCTCGGCTAGCACCAAACTTAATTAACCTCCGCATACATCGCCACTCTGTTGCACGTCTAATAACGCACATAAAACAATGTTGCAACTGCTGGTTGTTTGATGACTGGCTCAATGGTGTCCTATAGAAGTAAATGAGATGTCAAGAAATTTGATGTCTGGCTAGTGGCTACATATGAACAATGTCTAATCGCTAGGAGAAACTTGTTGTCCAGCACTTGGCACGAATAAAGCGTCATTCCTCCAATTAAAGGGCAAAATAAGTGAAATAAATAAAAAGGATGACTTTTAAAGGTGTGGTGAGAAACAAAGCAAGTCCCTTTAGCTCAAAACAAAGCATGGAATTAGCAATCCCAAGGGTTCATGGGTTCGATTCCCAAGAAATGCATAAATGAATAAAATGTCTACTATGAATGCTATTTTTTAAATGGGATTTTAGCCAGATTTAAACGCTTCAACAACATTCTCTCAGCTACAAGCTTCCCATATACCGGCTGCCTTGTATCTCCAAGTCTTCTCATTAGTCATTAGAATGTATTAATTTACAGCATTATTAACCCAGAGCTTAACAATAAGGTTTTTTTTCTGCTTCCAGTTGCAACCTACTTGCCTTTATTTTACTGGTCCCTAGACTCCCAACACAATAAAATAATTAAATGAGTAATTATACATTTCTAATTTAGGTGTATAATATCTAATTCTATATGCAATTAATTGTAAAATATTTCTACAATTTAAAACAATATTGCTATTTTCAAATGTAATTTATTCCTGTGATGCAAAGCTGAATTTCCAGCATCATTACTCCAGTCTTCAGTGTCACATGATCCTTCAGAAATCATTCTAATATGCTGATTTGTGCTCAAGAAACATTTCGTATTATCAATGTTGAAAATAGTTGTGCAGTTTAATATTTTTGAGGAAAACATGATACCTTTCTTCAGCATTTTGTCATGAATAGAAAGTATAAAAGAACAGCATTTATTTTAAAATCGATGGCAATACATTATGAATTAGTTATTAATTTTCAAACCATTCTTAATGATGCTAACTGTCAGCCAGTCAGATCATTTTACATAATAAAAATAAATTTTCCCAACCAACCAAAAAAAAAAAAAAATAACACCTGAAACACTCTCATTGGCCCCAAAGCAGCATCCGTATTGTTGAGCCCTGTAATTACTTTTGGGAATCAGAAAAAAAAAAAAAAAAAAAAAAACTTTCATTGGGATGTCAACATTAAGTAAAATATTAAAAACAAACAAACTCTTTAAAATGACTGGCGGCACTTATTTATATTCTACAATCTTAGACCTAGTGTGTGAATAACCAGTTCAGGTTTACAACAAACTAGACCACAGTAATGAAGCTCAAATGTCAAAAAAAGAACTGGAAGCAGAAGTCTCATTTGACATTGGGACGTTAACCCAGAACTGACAAATGATTAAAAGGTGGTGAATGGAGGCTCAGAGATTCAGACAGCCTCCCTCTCTTTGGGTAAACTCGGCAATATTTTCCTCACACTTTTTCATAGCCTTTATTTTATCCCAAAGGCGGCGGCGTAAATCCTCGCCTTCTGCGGTCTATGAAAGTGGGAGATTATTGTTGCTAGGTAACAGCATGTCATAGTTGAAGTTGGCTTTACTTTGGAGTGGCTCTGCTTTGAATGTGAATGCACTGATGCAGGCTCCCTATGGGGCAGGTGAACACCGGTCACACGACTGGCTGTTGACTTGTAATGAGATTATGGGCAATTCTGTGGTTCTTTATGTAACAGCCCCCCCTTACCTCCATTAGAAAGAAAAAAAACATGCTAATGTGAAGATACGAGTGCAGGAGAGAAGAAATACCTGAAAGAATTAATGCAAATTGCAGCTGAACAAGGAAAAGAGGAGAAACAAGGATGAATAAAACTGTAATTTAACAGACGTGAAAGATTGATTTTCCACCTGGAGGAACGGCAAGAACTTCTTAGATATTCAACAAAACAATAGGTGTCCCTCATCTGGTGTTCTGGGATGCATGAGGTCACGAGTGAATCAGTTATTACTACAATTAAACAAGGACAGTGTTAATGCATCTGGAGTTTGCTGACCTGTGTAATGAGGCAAATAAAAACTGGCTGAGATGAGGATAGATTTAATCAATTTAGTCAAATGCATTAATCTTGAAGACAAGTTGATTAAGTAGAAGAAGGGGTTTATTTGCTGATTAAAAACTAACATTTCATTAAAAAGCCATTTAAGTCACTCGTTGACTATTTAAAAGCTACAATCTTGCCATTTCATGGAGGACCGACTCAGCCTTGATCTTCATGGATCATTAGATGAATGGGATGAAACGTAAACTGCATTCTGAACGTAATGACTTACGGCTCTTCTTTAAATAAAATTACAGGAAAACAAATTCACCTTTGATGTCCACGCATATTTGTCTGTATTTTGTCTGTATCTGTATTGACGATATTTGCAGGCACCATATTTTTGCTTAAATTATACGTGTCAGCGTTGGTTATTTTATGCTTTTTTGAACTTTTCATATGTTGTGCAGTTCGCAAATGCCTGTATGATCGATGTTTGTTTACCTGGTTCGGAATGTGCCATTGTTTTTCTGTGTTAACTCACTACTAGACGGACTTGCGCTCCGGTGTCTCTTGCAGCATTTTACACATGAGATGGCACACTATCCGGCACTCAAGGTAAAACAAGCTCAACTTTTAAAAAACATGTCTGAAGAGCTGCGTCTTGTGTTTTTAACCTCAAAGCACGCTTTGTGGGAACGGCCCCTATACTTCGTTTTGCAGCAACGGTAGTTTGACAGTTCGATAGTTCTCTCGCTTGATTTAGGAGCGCTACATTCTGATTGCACACTTGTGTAAAAACCGAGCTTTCAGTGGTTTAGAAATCACGCATGCTTCCATCGAGATTTGATTATGATTTCGATTAATTGCACACCCTCCAAAAAATTCTGTTATCATTGTTTTACCCTCATGTTGTTCCATACCTGTATGACTTTATTTTACTTTCTAGAACAAAACAGAGTGATTTTGAAGAACGTGCTGGTCACTCTTTTTATTGAAATAACAATGACTGGGGACTTAAGCCTTACAAAATGACAAAAACACACTATGGGCCCTATCTTGCACTCGGCGCAAATGACTTTGTACACTGACGCATGTATCATACCTATTTTGCACCCGCGCAAAGCAGGTTTTTCCCTCCACAGACACACGTCGGTTAACTAAGAAATACACTTGCGCTCCCCGGGGCGGTTCAGCGCAAATAGGAGGCGTGTTCCGGCGCAAACTTTCCCTCATGCTATTTTGCTGTTCTATAAAACAATTGCGCCACTGACCAGAAAAAAACTAGTCTAAAGTCAGTGGCGCGTTGTTCATTATGCTATTTTAAGGGCGCATGCTTGGCCATAATCAATGTAGCGTGTGCACAACGCGCATACACGTTGATTCTCTCATCTAAGCAGCAGTTTTCATTTAGATAGATAGATAAGATAGATAGATAGATAAGATAGATAAGATAGATAGATAGATAATTTATTATAAAAGCATGTAGCTTACACATTTACCCAAATTATCATACGCCTGTTTAACAGAAGTTAATTTGGGTGGGTTTCTCCATCCCCAATGTCACTTCTCTGACGAGAACGCTGCTCTCCTCGGCTGTGAACCGCTCCTGGCGCGCGCCTGGCAAATCCGCCCTTATAATAGGAATCCGCTTTAGAACAAGCGCACCTGCTCTTAAAGGGAATGTGAGATGACGCTCTGATTGGTTTATTTCACGTTACGCCCAAACCACACCTATGAATAATGAAGCTACTTCAGGCCAACCCCTTTTAGATTTGCGCCAGGCGCAAGAGGCATTTATCCCGCCGGGAAAATAGCAACAGCGCCGGGATCCGCCCACAAAGTTACTTGCGCTTTACGCTTTGACACTTGCGTTTCAGATCGTTAAAATAGGGCCCTAAATGTATTATAAAAGTGGTCTATACAACATGTGCAAAAGTCTTCTGAAGCTTTGTGTGAAGAACAGACTGAAATTTAAGTCATAATCAAGGCTTGTCCTTACCTTTTTATACTCACCAACCACTTTGGCTAGCAGATTTCTAAAGTTACTACCAACTCTGCATTTTCACTGGCCACAATTTTGACACTGATACCATGGGGGAAAACTGCCATATTGATATTTTTAATATTATCTCATAATGTGACAGTAGGTATATTAGGCTGCAGTCACTTTAAGACCTGACGCACGGATCCATTAAACTGTTACACATGCTTTCAAGCTGTGTAACACCAACAATATTCATCCTGAGCAAATAAAACTAGTGAGTGAAGGGAGGCCGATTTGTGTGTGATTATTGGAAGCGTTTCAGATATTTCAGTGTCGATATGTATCGAAAAATCAATATTCAACATTACATCAATAATCAACACTACGTTGCACTTAGTTTATTATTTCAGACGACTTTTTAAAAGATCATCATAGTGATTCATCATAGTAAATCATAGTGATTCATAGGCAAATTTGTAAAACACAATGTAGACACAAGTCTTCAAAGTCTAAATGGTTTGTTTGTTTACAAACTCACAACTAATCTGCTTCTTGAGTTCAATTCATTGATGTAGGGGTTGCAGCGGTTCACAGCTCACTCAAATTTAATACTTGTTATAGCAATTCCAAGAAGATGTTTTTAAAGTTTAATATCCTTTAATAATTTAACATTCAAGCCAAAATTTCTGTAGCACAGGACATCAGTTACAACATTTCATTGAGTAGCTTCTGTTGAAAACAGTTAATCTTATCTGAGATCAAAATCACTCCAATCTTGATTCATTGGCTTTCAGTGAATGCATTAGGACAGAGAATGAATTTAATGAAACTGGTCATTACCTTGTTTTCCTGCAAAAAAAGGATTAGGAGGAAATGCTTGGTATTCCAGCAATAGCTTAATAAAGATTTACCTATTAAACCAAAGAGGGTTCAGAGACCCTCATTAGAAGTGGATGCCAGAATAGGCAGGTGAGAAGCATACCTTGACCTCGATGAAATCTGGCTGGCCAAGGGCGATGAGATCTGAGTAGGCCTTCAGCTCATCCACATTCCAGGCCTTCACCAAGGTCAGTCTGTACACCGTTCGCTGTTGCTAGAGGAGGAAACACAAGCTGTCTTACTGCTTAATTAATCCAACACACCCGAGTTTGAGAATACCAAATGATACTTGCAACCCACTTCCGTAATCTGATGTATTTTTAAGTAAAACCAGATGATCAATGAAAAAAAAAAAAGAAAAAAAAAAAAAAGAAGTATTTTCATCTATCACAAAAATATTACAAAGACAAATTTTGTCTTTTGGAATAGCATGCACTAATAAATCACTAAATAATTAACATGAGGGTTTGCTGGTGAAATATTCAAATATCAAAAGAAAATTAGTGGTCGACCATGGCCGCATTATCTACAAAAAAAAGAAGAGTGGATCATATAAAAATATGATTTAATTACAGCAATAGAGACGGCTGAAATGTAACATTACACAATACTCTAATTTTTTTAGTTTTCGTCTTTTTTAAATACATATTTCCCCAAAGATGCATTTAAGATAATTTAATAAGAACATACATACTGACAAATCCCTCTAAAATTACAAATGAAAGTGAAGAATTATTGACAAATGTATTAGTATAGTATAATTATTGACAAATGTATTAGTATTGTCTAATTATTGACAAATGTATTAGTATTGTATAATTATTGACAAATGTATTAGTATTGTATAATTATTGACAAATGTATTAGTATTGTATAATATTCAAACTCATATTCAAAATAACAAAATTGTGTGAATGTAAAGTAACTAAAAGTTGACTCAGAGAAATATTTAAAACATCTATAACTATTTTAATATTTAAATAATAATAATAATAATAATAATAATAACTAAATAATATTACATATACTACAAAATATACAATATTAAAAATACTAAATTTGTATTATAAAATACTAAATTTGTAATAATAATAATAATAATATCAATTCTACCCTGTTGGTATGGTATACAAGTCCAAGTACAATGTGAATTTAGGAGTTCTTAAGGTGTACAAGTAAACAAGTGACAAGATAAGTGACAAAGTAAACAATGAAAATGAATCACAAACTCGCCACAATTGACTGATGGTGACAGCCCAAGCCTTTGAAAAGTAATGAATTTCTAGCAAAACTTTTGATGTAATGAAGGTATGAAGATGTACAGCACATCCCATGACTGAAGAATAATTCAGAACTGAAAGTGGGATGTTCCATTTCTAGCTATTGCATCAACGCAATCTTGCTGACGGTGCTTAATATTATCATTGACAAGAGTCGGGTGAACATAAAGAAAGGGAGCAAGACTTTTTAATAAGAGAGCTTCAGACTATGGGGTCTGGCCCTGGGGTTCTGGACCTCAGAGTGCTCCGGCCCACATCATTACTCACAGACCCTCACACGCTGATGCCCTAAGGGGAAGAGGAAGACCACACAAAACACAGCGAGTGATAATGGACACTCATGCCTCCCGTTCCTGTTATTGCACCTTGTCAATCAAATAGTCCGACTGTCACAGTCTGACATTGCTCGGAATAACCATGTCCGTCCCTATAGACTGAATGCCTTTGCATGGTTGGTTGGTTTCTGTCGAAGTACAGATGTACAGGGCAGTCAGCATTGTTCCTGATCCATGCTAACTAGTGGATTTGCAAGGGAGGGAAGGAAGGATGGGGGATGGAAGCCAGCGAAAGCTGGGGAGAATCTGGCCTTCACAGGTGTGCTCATGTACAGTATGTGTGCTCATGTATGTGTGCATGAACCAGAGAGAGGGGGACAGACATGAGAGACGGATAATTGGAGTGATGTGGCAGCGGGGGAGGGTATTTAGAGCGGCAACCAATTTTAAACCTGCCAAAAGATCTTCATCCATCCCACACCTGAGGCTGAATCAGGCAGGAGGTGAGCAGGGCTCCGTAAAAACAGACAGCCACATGCTAGACCAGAACAGCAGCATGCCAACATAGAGCCAGCTGTATGTGTAGAGTAAAGAAGTGCTGACACAGAACTTTTCTGAATTTCCACAATAAGGCAAGCCTCACAATTATTATTGCACTTTGCAGAAATCAATTAAGCCATCTCTTCCATTTAAATATTTTTGTCCTAAAATTGCTAAATCAACCAAAAAAGCAGCAGGGTATTTTGAGGTAATCCACTTCTATGATATCCTGTCCACATCATATAATAAATATAAAATTTGCTTACAAAATACACAAGACACGAATATTATCAACTGTGCAGGTTGTTGTGGAGGGCTATTACTTTTACAAGCAATCAATCCTACAATTTGTATGGGAGATGATAAAACGGGTGAATTTTTTTTATTATTATTATTTATTTATTTATTTATTTATTTATTATCCATTACACTTTTCGAAGACTTTTGAAATTGCTATTCTGGACCCTAGATATGGTTCGCTTCTGGTCCCTAGATGTAGTTCGAGGTCATAGAGACGTTTGGCACCTCATCAAATTAATCAAAGGAACGTTTTGCCAGCTTTCAATCCACATATTTTAAATGTGAATTTTGCAATACTGGATAAAATAAATGCAAGATGGAAACGCCAAAAAGTGTTAAATAAAATAAGAAAATGTGTATGTATGTATGCATGTATGTATGTATGCATGCATGTATATATATATATATATTTATATATATAAAAAAGAAATTTCCCCCATCAAGACATGCCAAACTAATTTCTACATGCATTTACTCTTAAATGTGACAGAAAAGCTTCAAAATGGTTTATATTCTGTATTAATATTTTGGTTAATAGTCAGCATAAACTAAATTTGGATGGAAACATAGCTAATGGGCCAAAACCACTCAGAACACCTTAGCAACTAAATAGCAATGCTGTGGCATCTGTCCAAAATTCTCTGGTACGTAATTCCAGGTAATTCCAGCACATAGCTCTTCATCTGTCGTGCTGTTTTTGTACTATTTCCTTGGAAAACAAGAGGGCCGAGCACTGCATTTCAACATGAACAGCACTAGCCTAATTAGCCTGGGACACAGATCCCAAGGACACACTTAGTATGGAGTGACGGGTTCTGTCTGTGTGCACTTAACTAAACTCTACACCACTCAACCATGCACACAGAAACCTCAGTCTCCGATCTGTAGAGACATGGAATACTTGAGATGAATTCCAATGGATTTTTTTCATTCTTAAACACAATCTTCAATATTTAATAAAGAAATTGTTTGCATTTCAGTAAAGTCAGATGAAGTTCATTATTCTGAAGTAAAACTGATCCAGAAACACAAACTTTACTTAATTTTTTTTTTTTTACTTTTCTGAGCTCAATGAAGCTGAGGCCAAACATTGCCTGCTGCAAACAGAAGAGAACTTAAACAAATGTCAAAAACTGCCATTTTGGATCAAAGTCAATATGCATTTAAAATTTATAATTTACTTCCTTAATAAATGTTCAAGTGTACACAATTCAATGGTGTACGCTATTCCTAAGTAAAAAATCCAATCGATTCCCAAGGAATAATAAAAAAAAAAAGACATCTTCCATTACATTTTTTTCTCATTGAAATAAATTTCACATTACAAATGACATTTCAAATTGACTTCAAATATAAAGGCACTGAAATTTTGATCTGACACATCTGAAGACTAATGGCCCCATAAAGCCAGTTTCATTGACTCCCATCATTCAGCGGTCCCATATTAAAACCACAGCGAGTCGATCAGTCACTATCTGAATCCCTGGCAAACACTGCTGCCTTACACCTTTCTCTGTGCATTTGTGAAAGCTGAAACTATTTAAATGTGCAATAACAATTTCATTGTACTTAATAGTACATAATCTCTAATAAGTCACTTTAACACAAGTGTACTACAGCAATGGTTTATTCAACAAACTTGGAAAAACATAAGGTTCTTGATCGTGGAAAAAAACTATTATACACTATTTGCAGTTTATTTATGTAGTGGGGAAAATGCCATCTGTGATCTACATAATGTGTCCAAAAGACAATCACACACAATAAAAGGCACTCATAATGTGAAGAGAAAAACATTCAAATGAGTCATGCTTCCCTGCTCTGCTGCAAAGCAGTACACTGAGAGGAAACGGTGTGAAAAAAAAAAAAAAACAAGTGTCAGAGACCGGATGCAAAGACGTCCATTCCAGCGTCTCCCAAAGGATTCTGCCTATTTCTTAATTATCCAGAGTCAGAGCCCTTCCACTGAAGTACAGCACACTGCTTTTTTCTCTTTCTGAGCAAGAATCCATAAGAATCATTTATGAAAAAGCTAATTTTATATATTTGTGGTTTATCATAAATTAGTTTTGTGTGTGTGTGTGTGTCAATGTTGCTAATCGACATTAATAAAAACTCACAGATAAATAAGTGCAAATTTGATTTCAAAATAAGAATCCTATCAACAACAAACAATATATGGGCATTAGTAGTTTATATGTTGAACTATGTTCTATTGTTGTTCTATTGCATCTACCAATTCATTTCAAGGTCTACTAATTCTAATAAATAATATCTACAAATTCCTTTTCAAGGTCATTAAGTCACACAGGAGAACATGCATCTCTGGCAATGCACTTTAAAGATAGAATGAGTTTATCACAAACGGGTTTGAGTTTTGCATAGTGTACCGAAAACATGAAGAAAAACCCCCCCACAATTAATGTAAACAAGATTATAATATATACAGACTGTTGGCCAATATCTGAGAACTAATTAAGCAGAATGCAAAATAACAACAAAATTAACGAGGACGTAATGTTGTAGTTACAGGGAGAAAGGAAAAAAACTGGAATACAACAGTTATGGTGATGAATGTTGAGAATAAAACAGCCATTAATGATTTTTATTTTTATACTTGCGTCCTATTAGTCACTGACAAATAGAAGCCAGAAACAAATGCATTGTAATTAAATCTTGTAGATGTGAGTGATGAATAAGCCATAGAAAAGGGAGAATGCATAATGGTAGACAAACTGCCTAAGGAAACGGTGTCAGTCTAGACAGGTGAAGCTCAAGTGATGGAGGCAAAGCAGGCGTCAGCCACATTCTCTCTCGTCTCACAGAGCCAGAGTTTCACCATCAACATAAAGTCTGGTGAAACTGGAACTTATTCTGGTCACAAATCACCCCACTGAAACAGGAATGGCCAGTTTGAATAACACGAGACATGTTTATCTTTAAAAAAATAGTTACCTTGGTTAATTGCTTCTTTTATTTGTAAGTCGATATGGATAAAAGCACAATCCTGAATGCCTCACAATCCTGCGGTCTACAGTGCCATCAGTGTCGACTCTTCAGTCAGAAAGCGACACAGCAGGTGATCTCAACTCATTAGAAAACAGAAGAGCACTTTCAGTTTTTGTGTCTTTCTTTTTATGACTCACATATGCACATATGTACATACACACACACATAGACAGAGCGGTATGTTCAATGGCAAACTGAAGTTTAGCACACAGGCGCAGTGAATCATCTCTGAATGATGGCACTTAAAATCATTATGCAGTGATGCCACGGCCTCGTGTTACAAACTGCTTTTGTGATCACAGCTTGCTGAACCCCTAATAAGAGCCATTGACGGACAGCACCTACGCATCCACTCCATCAGGCTAGCATTTTTAACAGAACTTCACCTTAATATCGCAGTTAAAGCATTTAAAGGCATCCGGCGACTTTTATTCAACACCCATTTCTGACGCAAAAAAAAAGAGAAGGTTTTGCTCTTATTACTCAGATAAATCAGAGGATTTGGGCTAAGATGAAATCAATCCTGGAGCTTTGCGGTCATTATGTTTGGAATTAACATAATCGATAGCAGGGATTTCCAGAGTGTTTTGTAAAGGCCTGATATGAATTATAGGAAAAATAATGAATGAAGAGAAGTGAGAGGAAAACAGCTTTTGGCAATTAAACAATCCTTTTTAGAGCCAGCGACAACTGAGTTTTACACGCAGTAATGCACAACAGAACTATTAATCTTGTAAAACGCTTAATAAATGTTGACTTAAGCGATTGGGGAGAGTTGAATGATTCTGAATAAATACCAGTGTAGTGAATGTGACATACATCATTCACCTTTGTTGTTAAGCGTAGTTCTATACACTGTTGGCTATAAACGCAGCACTTTGTTCTTAGCATGTTTCTTCATGACTGTTCAGGGATCTCGGTCCCTTTAAATGTTCTGTAAGCGTGATGACGTGGGACGCTTGTCAGTGCCATATTGTTTCAGTATTTTGCCTACAAAAAAATAAAATGACACTCATTCGTGTGCTCAACGTGAAAAGTTGTCACTTGCAATTTCCACAAGAGTCTCTTTCTGTCTCACAATGATTATTATTGTCAATACAAATCATCTAAGAGCAATGGTGCTGATTCATTAAGATCTGTACACTATATAAATAAATCACAAGAAACACACAATGTTACCCTGGGTCTTGTACTCTTGATAATTGCAGGTCTATTTGGGTTTCTTGCTATAAGCAAGGGTCAAAATGGGTGATGGTTAGGGCTGAATATCATTCCAAGAATTTCATGAACCAATTTTATGAAATCCGTTTTAACAAGATTACATAACACATTACCTAAAAAAACTGAGTCTGTAAAAAAAAAAAGTCAACAAACTGAAAAAATAAAACCACGGACTTGGCAACCCCCGCCCCTTCCCCCGCCCCTAGCTCACAATGTGTGAGCTATAGGGGCGGGGGAAAAATCGATTCTTAGATGCATGGCGAGGCGGACGTGGACGATTCTGAATCGATTCACAAATGCCAAATGTTTTTTTTCTTTTCTTTTTTCAAATAACGGAATATTGACGGAACGCGAAAGGTGAAACTCTGAAGCGCGGAAGTGCAGCGCCCGGCCAGTCTGTGGCGTGCACATAACAGTCGCATGATGGCTGAGCGCGAAATCCGAACGGCACGCTCTTCGTTAAAAGCTATCATATGGAAAATTGGCATAATTTCATTGTGGCTTTTTTTCTATTTTTGTATGAGAGCTGCTTTCTGTATTGTTTTGTTTTCACATCAATATGCTGTAAACAGTTCTGTTATACGTACGTTATAGGTTTACTGTCCCTCCACAGTCACAGTGTGTATCAGTGCAATGCCAGTCACAAAAAGTTACATTTTGACTGTGCTCTCTGCAGAGGTTCATTTACTTTTTTTGTATAAGCTTGTTTTTGATTGTGTTATACAGCAACAATTTCAAGTCAAAAGTCTTAGACTCCTTATTATTTATTTGTGTATAAGAGCAGCTTTGTATATTACTAATTATTCACAATATGTTTAAGTCCACAAGCATTATTTTTGTATGAAAGCTGCTGGAACATAATTCTATATTTTTGTATGAAAGCTGTTTGTGATTTTGCTACAGCAAAATATTTATTTATTTTTGTCTGAAGGATTATATTGCACATAATAGGAGGATGTTGGTTAGAAGTCTATTATTTTATGTTAGAGATTCAGAATATGCTGAAGTTTGTATTCATTGACTACACTGTATGCTGCTTGTACAGGCACACATTAAATCCTGTTGGTTCTTTGCGATGTTGGGATATATGCTGGCAAATGTAACCTTGCAGTTGACTTGCCAAATCACTTCCATTTGTTTTATTAATAAAAGATATTGGAAGTAAATTCTTTATGGGTCATTATAAATACTTTGCTTTAAAAGTACCAAGTAGTCACACACAAAAAAGATGCATCGATAATCATTTTAGCATCATAGCCCTCTGAAACGTAATCGAATCGTGAGGTGCCTAGAGATTCCCACCCCTAGTGTGAGGTGAGCCCCGTCTCTGGGCGTAACTGGTGTAAACTAGTGTTTTTCCTTGATGCCTCCTCACAGCCAATCATGCTGCATGCTCATTGGCTCACTGATGTTTACGAGATAAACCCCTTAAGTATGAAATTTAGTAACGAACTACAAGACATTTTTTGATACTCTATCTATGGTATCAAGGCAATTCGGTCGGTGCCTAAAAAGTATCATACTCGATACCCAGCCCTAGTGATTGTTGACAACAGTTGGCCCTAAAAAAAGGACTTCAGCCAAAGAACAGAAAATATGCCTTATTTATCAGTCTAGAACAATAGTCTCACCACTAAAAACGGAATTTAAGATTTTTCCCAATCTGGATGTGCTTTTCAGGTTGTAGGATTATGAAGTCAGTGAAATGGCAATATTACAAGCTTAAAACAAATAAACAGTTATAACACATTCAAAACTCTATTGTTTTATCTGGACTAACGCACAGTGGACCTACCTTTTCACCAAGCGCTCTGAGACTGTCCAAAAAGCGCTGCCAGAAGTCTTTGAAGAGGGGACGGTCAATTTTCTTCAGACTGTCCTTGGTGCTGGCATCAACGCTAACATAAAGTTGTGTAACAGGCACAAGATTCCTATAAATAGAGAGAGTTGGAGGGAGAATAAAATTAACATTGAGCACAGAAAGTCTGGCTTTTTAACATATCAACAAGACTGAAGAAAATTGGAGTGCATAAGCATCAGGATCTAAACCGATTCTGGCCAGCCAGTGCAAGTGACTCTATTGTACTGTATTCTTTTCACTGTGCATGTGTACAACACAATAAAGCCATATGCAACTGAGTGATGTGATATGAAAACTGGAGTTAAGCCAGGACTAGGTAATGTGTACGTTCAGACAATGTACCATACCAACAACTGCCAGAGCTGCATTTGCCAAATAAAAAAACTCAATCACTCAGTTCAGCTCTGGACTGTCCAACTAGATCACCCTAGCATCATTTTAGAGAAGACATGGTATTTCTAATGAGGGGCTGTCGGTGTCCACAGTATAAATGCCGCCCACTATGCATTCGAAGGGAAGGTATCTGAGTGATAACTTTTGTGGTTTCCCTATGGGCAAGGAGAACGAGTCAATACGCCCACCTGTTTTTGGAATGGAAAAGCTGACCTTGTGTCTCCTTCAAACATGGGAGCCATCTTACAAAACAACTTGAAAAGAGTGGACTCGCATACATTCTGAAAAATCTCAATAGATGGACAATCTTAGTTATTTTTGTCTTAGCAAGGCTTTTGACATAATCTGCCACAATATTTTCCACATATTAGCATTTGGCATCAATGACACTGCTCTTCACTGGTTATTATCATTCATTAAAGGCATCAATTTCTACTGATAAAGAAATCAAATCCAGCTCCCATTGCTCACGGTGTTCCCCAGGGCTCAGTTCTAGGCCCTTTCCTTTTTTTTGTTTATATGCTTTGGACAAAAAATTTGGTGGCATGCACAAAGATTTCATTGCTATTTTCTCTCCCTATACCCTTGCATCCATAATGTCAAAGTGTGCATGGCAGCTAAAACAACCCTGACAAAACTAATTTAATAAAACTTCTAATCACAGATAAGAGTGATCATAAACACTTCACCGATTGTACCATCCTAGGTGTGATTTTCAACTGTGTCCTCAGTTCACATATTAAACATTTCATCAAACTACTTTCCTCCACTTTCGTAAAAGTGGTCTAGCACCACAATATTAAGATTTCGATTCCGCTTCTCTCCTGCTCTGCCAATTTATTAATGGTTCCCAAATTCAGACTGCCCTCCATCTTCAAAACCTAATTAAAACTCTTTCGTTTACTCAGGATTATTGAAATGTTTATGCATTCTTACTCTCTAGTGACTGCAATCAATTTATCTTGTTCGTGCCTATACTTGTTTCTCCAGCATTTTTACTTTTGTCTATTGCATCTTTTTTGGTAACACTTTAAAATAAGTTTCCATTGTTACCATTAATTAAAGTTGTTAAGATGAACTAACAATGAAAAATAATTCTAAAGCATTTATTAATTTTAGTAATTAATTTCAATATTTACTAACACATTATTAAAATCAAAAGTTGTCTGTTCATATTTAATGAATGTGAGCTAAAATGAATTAACAATGAACCGTTGTATTTTTATTAACTAACCTTAACAAATGTTAATAAATACTGTAACAAGTGTATTTCTCATTGTTCGGTAATGCTAGTTAATGCATTAACTAATGTTAACTTATGAGATATTATAGTGTTATCTTTTTTTCACATGGTTTACCCCTTTTTTGGGGTATTTTTACTTTCAGTTGTTCAGATTGTGATACTAAACTATTTAAAGTGAAATACAAGCTCTTTAAATATATAAAATCAATCAAGATAAGAAAAAGCTTTAAAATAAGTCTCAGTTTAATTGGTTATTTTGAGTTGTTAGAGGCTTGTGCCAGTGTACCATTTTATCCTTTCCTCCAGAAACGAACACAACAAAAAATGTGCATATTAATATAAGCAGCAGGTCTAGGATCTCATTATAATGCCATTTGAGAAATACTTTTTGAGAGGGAAGGCTCGATGCTGAGACCCTCAGTGAATATAATTTTTTTTCTTCTGCTGGTTTGTTTATCACTCAAAAAAGGCCTGCCTCAGCAGCGCAGCGTGGCAAAGCTTGCAGCTACGAGATAAACAACAACGATTGACAACTGTTCCTCACTTCCTCAGCACACTGCCAACATGATATTCCAGCAGCTGAGCTGAGGTGACGTCCCCCTCACCCTCAGATAACCTTTTCCGTGCAGATAGTCGGAAGAATGAGGTGAGGATGTATTTTGCATTAAGCTGGGGAGCAGAAAGAGATAGCTAATAGCTTTTTGGCTGCTCCTGAAAACTCACAATCTAGTGGAATTGGAGGAGCTGGGAGTCAAAGAAACTGTGATTTGCAATTCAGGGCCTGATTATGGCTTATCAGTCCTGTTACAGCCCGAGTGGGGAGTTCCCTTCAAAGACTGAGGGAAAAACTTCAAGCTGGAGGATGTTCAGTAGTTACAACTACTGCAGATATACAGAGAACAAACACATTCAAAAACAGGCTTTGTCTGTAGTCACTAGATCAGAATCACTGAATGATATATGACAAGATTTATAACAAAAGTTGGCACCCACAATCAGTGTCATAACCATCATAGACATTAAGAGGAACGTGTCCCCACAATATTAGGATTAGTGGTTGACCGAAATGGGTTTTTCAGTAGCCGATTCTTCATTTAATCTCCAAGATCCTGAACATATGGTTATTAAATCCTACCTGATCTCCTCAGGAAACTGGGCATTGGTGACCAAGAAGCTGGATATGTTCTGTTGGTGAAGCAGTCGAAGAAAGGTGTTGATCTCAGGATACATGATGGGTTCGCCCACCAGAGACAGAGCACAGTGCTTGACTGTGAGGCCCTCTTCAAAACGCTCGGGACGCACCCCTGGAACTCCTGTCAAGTGATAAAACACCACAAAGATAAAATTTAAAGTGGTCAAATCATTTATTAAAGCTAAACTGTTTAATTTCTTTGCAACTAGAGCCACAAACAGTATTGCAAATATAGGTTTTTCTTTTCAAAAACTCCTCAAATATGCCATTGTCGAATCAAGCAGATAAACCCCACCCCTAACTCAGCCAATGTCAGGCTGAGGTGAGTTTCCCATACTGCTTAACTATCATTAGTGTGATGTATCATGGGAGAAATGATCTTGTTAGACAACTTGATTGCACTATTGAGGCTCCAGTGGGCATGACATTTCTCACAAAATATATTATAAAGCACTGGTGACTCTATGGTGACTTCTGGATTAGGTGCTCTTTTGAGAATGTCTTTGTGTTTTCACTGGTTTTTGGAACCAGTATACCTAGAGTAAGTAAGGTTTGGGTAAATCAACAGTTTTTCACATAGCACTTTTCAGGGTATATGTGACGTTAAATTAACATTGCTTTCTGGAATACATCCCTGGGTCATACCATCAATATGCTCCTATGCACAGGCTGAGAGATGTACTGTAGTTCCAACCACATAACTTTGCGTTGTTGTTTGCTAATGTTTTTTGGAACTATGGTTTCATGAATCACAGAATCGTTTAAATATATTGGTAACAGTGACTCTTAGTTGGCTAACAATGCTTCTGGGAAACAAATGGAAAAGTTTTTTAAAGCACAACTGAGTCACAGCATTTTCCCTTTTGAGCAAAATCAACTATCTTAAAGACCCACTCCGATGAAAATAATGTTTTTCTAGGTGTTAACATGTTCTTGTGGCATTTTTCTGATGTTAGAGGACATATCTTGAGAAAAATCAGCTCAAAGTTGTATTTCTGAGTATTTCTACATTCAAATGGCTGTGAATCAGTAGCAGACGCTAAAATGCTGGCTAAAATCGACTGGAGTTGTGACGTAGTAACTCCACTGGGCGTCTCCACACGCGACGTCTTGGAGTGAAATAATGATCGGTGATAACTTTGATTAACTTCGGATAATAATAATGAACGTGTATATAATACTATTGCCCCACCGGGATTGGGGTTGTAAGCTAGCGGGAGAGACAGAGCTCTCAGCAACGGGCAGGGGGAGGGTCGTCTCCGTGCCAACGGCTCCGCCCACAACGCAGAGGCGAATTGCTAATGAGCTACTGCCGCTCTGCTGAAGCGAAGTCCCAGAAAACGGCACAGGTTTTGTGATTTTGGCTAAAAATGGCATAATCATAATTTAAAGACCACTGGGAATGTTTAAAAATAGCTCAAAATATGATCGGAGTGGGACTTTAAAGTTTTCTCTGCAAATGAAAATCGGAGAAACGGTTTAAATTTTGAAAAACGTTATACTTGAAAGTCAACAAAAACCACCCATTTAATTCTAAGACCAAAGAGAGGGAGAAAATTGGTCAAATTAAAACATTTTTACAAAAACATTTGACTAAAATAATAAAATAAACCTATGGGGAAGAAAAAAGACAACAACAAAAAAATGGACAAAAAAAAAGGAAATTAGTCATCTTGCCAAGAAAAGACTATTAACTAACTGTATTCTAATAAGACTAGCAATACGTTCTAGTAGCCAAACATTTTCTTCTCTCTTTCTTGATCACTGAAGATTTCTGGCTCCATTTTTGTGCTCTGTACCCTTGGCACAGTGTGCTTCCTGGCCTTTCATCCACTCTCTCTGTTCACTTGTTAATGCGTTTGTTTACTCAGCCCTGGGTCATCATGGCTTACTTCTGCTACACGGAGCAGTGATGTCACTGCTAAATGTCAACTGTGCCACCAAGCCAGAGTGGACGCTGAGACCAAGACGGCGATGCGGAGGTGGTGCAACACACACATCTGGCACCAACTCAGACACTGGAAAAAAACCTACAGTAGTCTCCAGAAGGAGCCTTGATTTATCTGGCTTAGATGCATCAAAAGTGCTAATCTTTAGACAAAAAAAATGATGTACTGCTTTATCAAAACATTCCCCGTCCATTTCTCGAAACTTGAAGGAAAAAAAGTTGCTTGACGGGAACATTATCAGATTTCTGAAAAATAATTCAACCAGAACAGTAGGCCATGGGCAATGTTCATTTCAGAAAAATACAAAAGTTTGACATCTGTACTCAAAGCAGATGATCAAAGACAGATGTCTTGAGTTTCAAAAAGCAGAAACCTTGATTTACGAATGATAAAATCGAATCAAACTGACTTTGGGACTGTGCCACTCCACCTAATAACATTCCCAGCAGATATCATCAGAAAACTCCCTCTCTTTGTCGCAGATCTGTTTGTAGCCATCTACGCTAGACATCTCTGATTAATTTTTCAGACTACTGCAGATGAAGGTGGGGGGACACGCATCAAACAGTCTCCAAATCACCCCATATTCTGGAGTATGAAGGCAGTGAGGTAAAACAAAACCAGTGGTGTTAAGGGAGTCCCTTCAAACGTTAAGAAAGAGAGCAAAAGGATTTAGTTCCCATCTTAAGGTTCTTGAAAACCCATCTGGTTTGCCCCCTCAATCCTAAAAAAAAAAGTCTGATCCAGATGTCCACCAAAGTACTGAGATGGAAGTTGAACTCTGGATCTGGCAGTGAAATCACAACTCATTACGAGTTGACGTCACCTGATTGTGGAGATGAGGAATGAGAGACAGGAATGTGTTAGGTCCCAAAGGGCACATTTTGAAGGGAAGAGGAAATTTGCTGGCATTAGAGAGTTTTATGACACAGTATTGGTATGCCATTGCAAAAATAGTCCTAAGAGTGGACCTCAACTGAAGTTTAGGAAATTCAAGTTATGGAAGGTCTTATGATCTGGATGTGTGAATCACGAAACCCACTGAAATAAAGAGTATGCATATATGTGATTATATTCTAAAATTAGGCATTTAATTAAGGGACGGATTTGCAAAAATGTTTGAAAGGAAATTCGATGATAGCAAATGCAAATTTAGCTTCAGCTATGGTATTTGATCAAGGTCAAAATAAAATAAGTTTTGTACCAATATGAAATACCACAAATCGCAGACATTCCTATCCAGATAAGAATTCGATTTCTCAGAGGATGCCTGAGTTAGAATGAAAACACTAGATAATTTGCTTCATTGTTTTATCAAGGTTGTTTGATTTAGATGTTACCAAAATCATCTGTGAAACAAATGAAAAATAATTCCATCCAGGCACTCTCAAAACAAAACAAAACAAAACTGAGTCCATGTCCCCTAAATACTTATGCACGCTGCAGTATTGGGAATTATCTGCAACAAACAAATAAAAACTCTCAGCTGTTGCTTTACAAATTAAGTCTCAAGACGCCCTTTCCATCTGATCTCGGCCTCGGCCTGTCAAACTAATCCAGCCACAAACCCAGTCTCCTTAATGCTGCTGAAAGCTGATGAATCCAGTACTGATCTGATGCAGCATATGGTGAAGAAAGTGACAGGGTGCAAATGAATAAATTAGACCCAGTCGAACTGCACTTAGAGCCTGTCCTTTCTGAAAACCGTAGTGACAGCTAAATATACCCCAGTGTCTGTTGGACAATATCTGAAACCGGGAGGGTTTTCAAAGACGTCAATATAGTGTTATGTCACACAATGTTTGAATAGCTTCCAACTGGATTTGTGCCTCTGAGGAAAAGGATTTAAATAAAACAAAAGTTATTTCTGTACAATTACAGTGTAAAGGGCTATTAACAGCAGGTGTGAATTTTCTTCTCAGGTTTTTTGGCACAACAAGATTTCTGGAGAATACATTCACCTTTACACCAAAAACAACACAGACCAGAAAATTCACAGACAACTTTTGTCATTTATTCACATCAAACTTGGTGTGAGGTGAGATGTAAAATACGCCGTGGCCAATTAGTGTTTTTACGAATGCAGTGGCCTTTTAATCCTCCGTTGTTTGTTTAAAGGCAGCAGGAGAGGTTAGCTAAAGGTAATGGACAGTGGAGCTCCGGGGAGCCATTACCTCTGAATTGCCGAATCATGTTCCTGTGGTTCTCCATGGCCTCCTGAATGATCTTCTCGGCCGGGTCCATTTTCCAGCGCCACTCTGTTCCCACTGGGTTGGTGTGGTGTCTGTTCAGAGAGAATGAGAGAGGACAGCTCCTGTCAGCACGGCACAGTCACAGAATTACACGCCCTGGACCGCAGTCTCATTCCCCTGAGAACAACACCTGCACCCCCACCGCCTGCAAATTAGCATCCTGTGACCCTTTCAACAGCTCTCACATCACATAAAAGGGCATAAATGCCAGGCAGTGTGGCTTTACTTCCTTCCCCTGCCATAAATAGCAACAGGAGATGTGAAAATGCTGGATGTGACGCCATATTCCTCACTTCACCAGGGGTAGAGCCAAATCCTATTATGAGGATGTGCAAAACTACATTTTTAAAATGGACAAGTCAGTGGGTTGTCTGAACAACTAGCCCACAAGCGGATTATTTTTTTCCAGAATGTTTTGAAGTTGCAAGCTTATAGAGTTGAGAATCAGAGAGTACAACTAAATAAATAAATGCTATCATTTAAATAAGGCAAGGCAAGGCAAGGCAAGTTTATTTATATAGCACATTTCATACACAATGGTAATTCAAGGTGCTTTACATAGAAAAATCAAAAGAAATAGGAATAATTAAAACAGTTAAGAATAAAGAGATTAAAATAATCAAAAGAAATAAGAATAATTAAAACAGTTTAGAATAAAAAATTAAATAAAATACAGTACAAACAGTCGGACACAGTGGCACAGTGCTCATTCAGTAAATGCATAGCTAAACAGATGTGTTTTGAGTCTGGATTTGAATGTGACTACTGTAGGAGCACATCTGATCTCCTCTGGAAGCTGGTTCCAGCTGCGGCTGGCATAGTAGCTAAAAGCAGACTCTCCTTGCTTAGAGTGAACCCTTGGTATTTCTAGCTGATGCGATCCTAATGATCTGAGTGATCTGTTGGGTTTATATTCAGTGAGCATATCTGCAATGTATTTAGGTCCTAGGCCATTAAATGATTTATATACCAGTAATAATACTTTAAAATCAATCCTAAATGTAACTGGGAGCCAGTGTAAAGACCTGAGGACTGGTGTGATGTGTTCATATTTTCTGGTTCTGCTCAGGATCCTGGCAGCAGCGTTCTGTATGAGCTGCAACTGTCTTATGGTCTTTTTAGGAAGGCCAGTGAGGAGTCCATTACAGTAATCCACCCTGCTGGTGATGAAAGCATGCACAAGTTTCTCTAAGTCTTGATTGGAAACAAAGCATCTAATTCTTGCAATATTTTTCAGATGATAGTATGCTGATTTAGTTATTGATTTGACATGACTACTGAAACTAAGGTCTGACTCTAGAGACACACCAAGATTCCTGACTTGATTTTTAGTTGTTAGACCCCTAGCGTCAAGGTATGCATTCACCTTGAGAACTTCATCTTTGTTTCCAAACGCAATGACTTCAGTTTTGTCTTTGTTTAACTGAAGAAAGTTTTGGCACATCCAACTGTTTACTTCATCAATGCATTGGCACAGGGAGTCAATGGGGCTGTAGTCGTTAGGCGATAGGGATAAGTAGAGCTGTGTGTCGTCTGCATAGCTGTGGTAAGAGATTTTGTTCTTTCTCATTATTTGGCTCATTGGGAGCATATACAGGTTGAATAGGAGTGGTGCAAGAATTGAGCCTTGAGGGACTCCGCATGTCATGGATGTCCACTCAGACTTATGGTCTCCTATACTCACATAATAGCCTCTGCCTCCTAAGTATGACCTGAACCATTTCAGGACTATCCCAGAAAGCCCCACCCAGTTTTCCAGCCTGTCAAGAAGTATGTCGTGATCGACAGTGTCAAATGCAGCACTGAGGTCGAGTAGTACCAGCACTGATAATTTCCCTGTATCAGTATTTAAGCGAATATCATTTATTATCTTTATGAGCGCTGTCTCTGTGCTGTGATGCGATCTGAAACCAGATTGAAAATTGTCAAAGTATCCATTCAAGCTTAAGAATTTGTTCAGCTGATTGAAGACAACTTTTTCAATGATCTTGCCTATGAAAGGAAGATTTGAGATCGGTCTATAGTTGCTTAATATGGTCTTATCCAGATTGCTCTTTTTCAGGAGGGGCTTGACAACTGCAGTTTTCAGGGAGTTTGGAAAATTCCCAGAGAGAAGTGAGGCATTTACCACTTCTAGGAGATCTGCTTCTAAACAGTTTAACACACTTTTGAAGAAAGATGTGGGAAGTGCGTCAAGGGCGCAGGTTGATGTTTTAAGGTGCTGTACGGTTTCTTCTAAAATTTTGCCATCAATTTCTTCAAAATCAGACATAGTAGCTACTTTCTGCGGTTGTGATCTGATCTGTCTGACCCCAGTGCGGCTCAATGATGTGCTGATCACCTTTCTGATATTATTGATTTTCTCAGAGAAGAAAGAAGCAAACTCCCTGCACTTGCTGTCTGAAAGCAATTCATTGGGAATCTGGCTTGGGGGGTTTGTCAGTCTCTCTACAGTAGCAAAAAGAGTGCGTGTGTTGTTTAAGTTGCTGTTTATAATATTTGAGAAGAAAGTCTGTCTAGCTTTGCCTAGTTCCATATTAAAAGCATGGATGGTGTCTTTGTAGATGTTATAATGGACTACAAGTTTTGTCTTCCGCCACATGCGCTCTGTTTTTCTGCATTGTCTTTTCATATTTTGCACAGCTGTTGAGTTTCTCCAAGGTGCTTTTTGTCTACCACTCTTCCTGACTTTCACAGGAGCAATATCATCAATTACACTTTTAACTTTTGAGTTAAAACAATCAATGAGAAAATCAACAGAGTCAGCAGATATGCTTGGTGTTGAAGATATAGCCTTCATAAATAGTACACTAGTGTTCTCATTTATGCATCTCTTCTTGACAGACACAGATCTAGCTTCAATGGCAGGAGAGATCAATATATCAAAGAAAATACAGAAATGATCAGACAGTGCTACATCCTTAATAACAATCGATGAAATGTTTAGACCCTTACTGATAAGTAAATCTAGACTGTGCCCGCGAGTGTGTGTCGGTCCGTGTACATGCTGAATCAGATCAAAAGTTTTTAAAACAGTTTTGATTTCTTTTGCCATATTTGTATCATTATCTATGTGAATGTTAAAATCTCCAGCAATAGCAAAACAGTCGAACTCTGAGGAAATTGTTGATAACAGTTCTGTAAAGTCCTCAGCAAAGGCTGGAGAGTATTTTGGAGGCCTGTAAATAATGATAAGTAAAATGCGTGGGGCACCTTTTAACACAATACCGAGATATTCAAAAGACGGGTAGTTACCAAATGATGTTTGCTTACATTGATAGACATCCTTAAAAAGAGCAGCTACTCCTCCACCTCTCCTTACAGCTCTGCAGACACTCATGAAAGTAAAGTTAGGAGGAGATGTTTCATTGAGGACTGTTGCACTGCAGCTGTCTTCTAGCCAGGTTTCATATAGAAGCATAAAATCCAGGTTGTATGTGGTTATTAAGTCATTGACTAGAAGTGATTTATTTTTAAGTGAGCGGATGTTTAAAAGTGCTAACTTAACAGTCTTACTTTTTGTCCCCACAGCAGTCTTAGTTTGGCGTGTAATAGGTACCAGATTAGATGGGTTTGCTGTACGGCTTTTGAAGGCCTTAGACCTTCTATCATGTAATCGAACAGCAATAGAGAAAGAAACAGGCACACTGGGTTCCCGCTTGTTATGTAAACATTTAAGAAAGTTACTGTTGTCATAGCGGAGACCCGACACATATCACTGAGAGCTGGTATCAGTTGTTTTTGGTTGACCTCGGGCCGATGGAGGAGGGTGTGGGCCCTGGCGCTGTGGCAGAGGCCGAAGAGCTCTCACAGGAGGAGGGGGAGGGCGAGCTGGGCCCGCAGGCTTTGGTGGTTGTGGGGCCTGCCGCTTTTTGGTTGACATCTGGGGGCTTGCAGCAAAAGAGTGGGATAGTTTGGTTCCAGCAAACACCAGTTCTTCCATTTTCTCTGAGAAGCACAGAAGTGGAGATGCTGGAGATAGAGAAAATGTGTCTGGTGAGACGGGCTGTTGCTCTGGTGTTATCGGCTGTAATATGCTGTCCTGGTTTCCCTGGCTGTTTTCCAGAAAGTCGTCCTTGGGTGCTGAATCTTGGAGCAGTTCTAGTATGTCACAGTCTGTCTGTGGTGAGCTCTGTGGGCGGGGCTCAGCTGAGATTGTGTCCGTGAGCAGAAGTTGTTGTGGCTGCATGGTGTTATCATTGTCCTTGTGTGACGTGTCAACCGCATGTCCATTCAGGTGCTGAAGTGAAGTCCTGTGGTCATTCATACTGTGTCCAGGTATGTGTGTGCCATTCAGGTTGAGTGGTTTGGCACACACTGCAGAAGGATGATTGAGGGAGAAGCAGATATTGTCCTTTAGCACTCTTGAACCAAGTTTGTTTGGGTGGTGGCCATCCTGTTGAAACAGTTGCCTCTGACTCCAGAAAAGATTGAAGTTGTCAATGAAGTTTACTCCTTTTAAATAGCAGGTTTTTTGGAGCCATGTATTAAGCCCAAGCAACCGTGAAAACCTGTTTGTTCCTCTTGCTGGGAGTGGTCCACTGATGAATGTTTGAACTTTCAGTCTTTTAAGTGTTTCAAAAAGTTCATTGAAATCCTTCTTAAGGAGTTCTGACTGCTCTTTATGAATATCATTTTTCCCCACATGAATGATGAGTCGATTTGCAGTTTTATGTTTCATCAGAATGTTCTGAAGTTCCCTGTTTACATCAGAAGTTGTTGCTTGTGGAAGGCAGCATGTAGTTGTATCCCTGCTACTAAAGTTTTTGATTATGGAGTCACCCACTATCAGAGTCCTGGGCTCGGCTGCGCTCTGAGCTGAGTGCCGCTGTCTGCTCGACCTTGAGCGCCAGTTAGCAGTGTTAGCTACTGGCTGATTCAGTCTGTGTTCGATCACATTCATCACATTCAGGGATTCCTCATTCATTAATACTTCAAATCTGTTCTCAAGATGTATAGGCGGTGGTAGGAGACCAGTGTTTGCAATCCTTGTCAGAGCCGTATCTGGGGTTGAGGATGCTACTGCGGCAATATGTGATACTCGTGACAATCTGATGTCTCGAGTGCCTTTGGGTCTCGCTCCCTGTTTGTGCCATCGATTTGTAAGTCGATCGGCTTGTTTCTTGACACTCAGTATGGCCTGTCGAGGAGTACTAGATGCATGGGACTCACCGGCTGTATGCTGAGGGCGTCCATGGCTGATCTCTGTTGTGTGTTCCGTCTGGTTTGGTTGTCCCACAAATAACTTTGTTTCAAGAACTACAATCCTTTGTAAAAGTCTGTGGCAGTTAATGCAGCAAGTAGATTCCAGAGGAGGCATTTTCTCTTATCCTTTATGAGTGTAGACAGTTGTGATTTTCTCTTCCCCGGAATGTAAGCTTTCAGTGGGAGGCTGGTAAAGTAAAAAGAATTCTGCTTTTTTGTAGTAATCCAAGCGTTTGAGCACTGTGCTGATTAGCTGAAGTTAAAATTAGGTGATAAAAGGAGATAAAATATAAAAATATAAAAGCGATAGAGCAAAGCGCGGAGCAGTAAGCAAGAGCGTCCGAACAGTGGCAGAGCAGGAAGCCAGGCTGCTGAAGACCAGCCTGGCTTGGAAAATACATATATGCTTGTGTATACATATATGCTTGTTGCTTGTGCCAACCAGCCTGGCCTGGAAAATACATAAATGCTTGTGTATATATATATATATATATATATATATATACACACACACACACACACACACACTATATAAACAGCACTAATATTATACCGTGTATATAGGAATAAGGCATTATATATATATATAAAGTGGCATAACTGTTTTAAAAAAGTGGGTGGGACAGGTGTGTGTGTGTGTGTGGGGGGGGGGGGGGTTCATATATAAATCAGATATATGTACAATAATAATTTTAGGAAAAAATATCATTACGATGTCTAGAAATCAATTTCAATTGTAACGTTACGCTGCGTTTAATTTGTCTTTTAATGAGATCTACTAATATTGTTAGTGCCGATATTTTAGCACATTTTAGAGTGACCTTTTATTGTGGCCAGCCTAAGGCACACCTGTGCAATAATCATGCTGTCTAATCAGCATCTTGATATGCCACACCTGTGAGGTGGATGGATTATCTCGGCAAAGGAGAAGTGCTCACTAACACAAATTTAGACAGATTTGTGAACAATATTTGATAGAAATAGGCCTTTTGCGTACATAGAAAAAGTCTTAGATCTTTGAGTTCAGCTCATGAAAAATGGGGGGAAAAGCAAAAGTGTTGCGTTTATAATTTTGTTCAGTATAATGTATATATATATATATACAGTATATATATATATATATATATATATATATATATATACACACACACACACACACACACACAGTTCTCAGCGTAAATGAGTACACCCCCTTTGAAAACTAACATTTTAAACAATATCTCAATGAACACAAAAACAATTTCCAAAATGTTGACAAGACTAAGTTTAATATAATATCTGTTTAACTTATAACATGAAAGGTTAATAACATAACTTAGAATACACAATTTTCAGTTTAACTCAAATTGGGGTGATGCAAAAATGATTACACCCCACAACAAGTAGACTACATCTAGTACTTTGTATGGCCTCCATGATTTTTAATGACAGCACCAAGTCTTCTAGGCATGGAATGAACAAGTTGGCGACATTTTGCAACATCTACCTTTTTCCATTCTTCAAGAATGACCTCTTTTAGAGACTGGATGGAGAGTGATGCTCAACTTGTCTCTTCAGAATTCCCCATAGGTGTTCGATTGGGTTCAGATCAGGAGACATACTTGGCCACTGAATCACTTTCACCCTGTTCTTCTTCAGAAATCCAACAGTGGCCTTAGATGTGTGTTTAGGATAATTGTCATGTTGGAAAAGTACACGACGACCAAGGGCACGGAGTGATGGTAGCATCTTCTCTTTCAGTATAGAGCAGTACATCTGTGAATTCAGGATGCCATCAATGAAATGCAGCTCCCCGACACCAGCAGCACTCATGCAGCCCCACGTAAGGACACTGCCACCACCATGTTTCACTGTAGGCACCATGCATTTTTCTTTGCATTCCTCACCTTTGCGACGCCATACAGTTTTCAGTTCCAAAAACATTTATCTTGGTCTCATCACTCCAGAGTAAAGAGTCGCAGTAGTCTTCATCTTTGTCAGCATGGGCCCTGGCAAACTCTAGGTGGGCTTTTTTGTGCCTGGCCTTTAGGAGAGGCTTCGTTAGTGGACGGCACCCATGCATCCCATTCCTCTGCAGTGTACGCCATATTGTGTCACGGGAAATAGTCACCTCAGTTTGGCTTTCTACTTCTTTAGTTATCTGCAGTGAACTTGCATGCTGATTTTCTTCAACCCTTCTCATCAGAAGACGCTCCTGTAGAGTTGTTAACTTCCGTGGACGACCTGGACGTCTCTGTGAGATGGTTGCAGTTCCATCTTTTTAAAGATTTTGTACCACTTTTGCTACAGTATTCTGACTGATAAGTAAAGCTTTGCTGATCTTCACTTTTCTGGTGTAAAGAAATTATTTTCTTTCTCAGGTCTTGTGACATTTCTCTTCCATGTGGTGCCATTGCTGACAGCCTGAAATGGGAAGTAACACCAAACCTCAACTGTCTGCTGGACACCTGTGTAATGAATAATTAGACTCACCTCTGGTTGAATTCTTGTTAAATTAGACATTTGTAGTCTAAAATTTAGCTTTGCTCCAGACACTTTCAGTGGGATGTACTCATTTTTGCATCACCCTAATTTGAGTCAAACTGATAAATCTGTTCACTAAGTTATATTATTAACCTTACTTTCATGTTATAAGTTAAACAGATGTTATAGAAAACTTAGTCTTGTCAACATTTTGAAAATTGTTTTTGTGTTCATTGAGATATTGTTTAAAATGTTTATTTTCAAAGGGGGTGTACCCATTTACGCTGAGCACTGTATATACACACACATACATATATATATATACCACCAAAACAGTAAAAAAATAAAAAAAAATAAAAAAAATATGAATAAATATTACCATTAGTATTAATAAGACCAAGAAACAAAAACAACTGACGTCCAAGACAAGTAAATACCTACAACAATTCCTGGTCTTATCAATAGCCATCAACAGGCTTGATCTTTTTGCCCTCTTGCCTTTATCAAGATGGCCTTCTGGGCTGAAGAGCCAATGTTTGAGATGGGTTCAAGAGCTTTTCCTCTAATGCCTTTGCTCAGTTTCAGGCGATACCACCTAAATTATCCAGCCCATCCACATGAAGAGGCCTCTTCAGACTCACAATTTCGAGTGCCACTTTTAACCAAATTACTCACCTAATGCGAAGTTCAATATTTCCATCACATTCCATGAAAGCGGAGGACTAAACGACTTTTGCATTTTGAAACTTCTTCAGCACATTTATTTGCATTATGTCATTAACTGTGTAGCATTTGAGGATTGGCACAGCATGTGGCAACGAAACGGATGGAAAATTTGATTAGCGCAACGCTATGAGTCACAGCGGCGGCAAAACAAAACAACCCACAATGCCAAAAACTAGATCCGATACACTGCTCATACACAAGGGCATAAAAATAGAGTTCACTGACAAATCGCAAGACGTTGATTTTTCTTCATAATGCCTCAAAATCAGCTGATTCAATGAGAAAATAGGATGGAAAAAATTATTTACTCAACAGCAGGATCAAAGTCTCTCTGAGACGCCCTCAATCTGCTGTGTTATTCTGACAGCGCAGCTCAAACTACAGACACAGAAGTTGTTTTTTGTGCATTGGAGGCTGTCCCAGTGTGTCCTGTCCCAGAGCTGTAGGACATGACATAGTGTCCTGTTAGTTTATGGGTGGATGTTTGTGTCAGGCTGACAGGCTCACAGTGACGACTTTAAATCAAGTCCATCTCTGTCAGCAAGCAGCTTTAAGCTGGGCTGTACCTTAAGGCAACTAAGGAAATCATTCCAGATACAATCTTTAGAGGGGGAGCACTGATGCTCTTTGACAGCTCTTCCCCCCACCCCAGCACATAAACCTCAGCCAATGACAGGAATATTGAATACTACCTTCTTTCCACAAGTGTCACTATGAATCAGCAGTGCTGCATCTACCGTTGCACTTACAATTCATTCAGACGGACATCACAGCTGTTTGCTCAGGCATCTCTCACATAATACGGGCTGATATTTTAAATGACAATTTCAAAAGTATGACTTTTTAACCTTTAACTCATTTTTTTTGGTCCCACTTTATAATAGGTTTCTTAAAGTACTTGAGTCAAAAAAGTACTTGTTAAGTACAAAGTACTTGTGTTCATGTTGGATAAAAAACACTTTTGCTGCTATTGAGGTGGTATACGGAAAATGTTAGGGACAGGTTTGGTGGTATGGGTAGGTTTAAGGGTGAGTTAAGGTGTAAAGAAAGGGTCAACGGTGTAATTATAGATGCAATTACAAAGTTACATGCAGGTGCAATGTGAAAACATGTATTAACACAATGAGTGCATTGTATTAAATGATTCATTTAAATGTTATTACACAGTAGTGGAAGTGGATATTTCTTCAATATAAAAATGGACGAGTTACGCACCCAATATTATATACTTGGTTAAGGGTTTGTTGAAACCCCAAATATGAGCAATAATAGATTGTTTCAGGTCATTTATTTCAGTATTAATTTATTAGGTGCATATCATGGAAAAAATATAATATTTTTTTAGTTTTTTTTTTTTATACAAATCTTCTCCTACCTCCAGCAGAAAACGCATTTGTTGGCACAGGCCAGGCTCGGCGTGGTCTCCATACATCGATGCGATTCAATCCCGTAGAAGGTGTGTTTATAGCAGCCTCCTCTCCCTCTCAGCATTGACTAACAAAAAAAGGGGCAACATTGGTTTCATTTAATACAAAGAAAAACTGGTCCTGCCTGGAAAGATTGTGCAGCTTTAAAAAAGAAACTTGCTAAAGAGCCTTGACAACAAATCAATAGTAGGAAACCTACCTTAGTCCAACGACACAGTTTCACCCCGGAGTGACTTCCTATTAGTTTATACCCTACAGACCACAAAAAATAAAGAACAGATGGAAACAAGGCATGCAGAGATTAGCAAGTTTTCTGAGTACTGATTGAGCTACATATCCTCAAAAGACAAAAAGCATCTCACACTGCCTTTAAGCATAGAAATCAAATCCAAAACACTTCGTATTTTAAATACCAGCAGCTACTGGATTAGTCACCAACATGTTTGACTTTAGAGGTGGGAAATTTCACTAACATTGTTGGCCTGTTGTCAGGGAAACTTTATCATTGCTATCAATTATTGATCATTATACTATTTAAAAAAAGAAAGAAAATTCATGTCATGGTAAAAAATATAATACTACTATTTGTAAATAGTTTATACAAATGAATGTAGGCATCACAGTATTATAATGCACAGTATAAAAGATATAAGTTTTCATTACATAGTGTTTGAATGAGAAAAAAGTGCTCACTGTTCTTTTGAACTTTCTATTCGTCAAATATTAAGCAGCACAACTGTTTTCAACACTGATAATATTAGGAAATGTTTCTTGAACAGCAAATCAGCATATTATAATGATCTCTGAAGGATCACGTGACACTGAAGACTAGAGTAATGATGCTAAAAATTCAGCTTTGCATCACAGAAATAAATTACATTTGAAAATACATTAAAATAGAGAACAGACATTTTAAATTGTAAAAATTTTACATTAGTATTTTTGATCAATAAAATGCAGCCTTGATGAGCATGAAACTTTGTCTTTTTTATTTTTTTCAAATAAATAGTTTACCAACCCCAAACTTTTGAATGTTTGAAAATATATGTTCTATAAAACATCAACAGTATTTTCAAACACAAATGCTCATTAAAGTGGACATTTTTTCCCTTTTCTTTCATGCATAATTTGTACTCTAATAATGTGAATATTAGAGCAATTTCTACAATGCCCAAACATTTTCAAAACCTAATCTACAACCTTCACAAATCATTATTGTATTGACATCACAACCATAAGCACTTTTTTTATGACAAATCATCATAACAGCTTAAAACAGCAGTTTTTAACAGGTTGTGTTAGAGATGGAATAGAAGGCAATGCAATAGGGAGCCTGAAAGAAAAGGTGCATTTATATAATGTACACTCAGTACTAGCACAAGTATTTCCAGTTTACAGTTTGCACAGGATCTTAAACATCTAGCAGAGAAATGCCAGAAATTTTCCAACAAAGCTCCTCAATACATCTCGTACATACGTCCATAGACTCATTCTCCCACAACTGCGCTGCGTCTCCTTGGGGAATCAGACTCGATTTAGACTTTAATCCACATGTAAGGGCCATCACTGGGGCAACCAGCACTCCCTATAGCAGTCTTAAAGTCCCCCTGTGGTGAAAATTAAGTTTTTAAATGTTGTTTATATGTCTATGTGGTGTTTTTAATGTGCTTTAAGACAAACCATGCATGTGCAAATTCATAAGTATACACCATTGCTGAGAATTTTCTCCTTAAAACTGCAGTGAACTAAAGACAGTCTTAAAAACACGGTTTAAAATCACTGGTGTTTCTAACATAAACGACCTCGTAACCAATCATGCCAACGGAGGGCTTTAGCAGATCAACTATGCCATGAAGCAAAGGAGTCTCAAGAGAAGCCAGGTTACCCTGGTATTTTTTCCGTTGATGTGGAAAATCGGGTAGATTTTGCAATATAGCGAGTTTATGATGAACTATATGCCTTTCTCCACTGACGTTTTAAGTTTTTCAAAGCGTTTCTAATGATGCTGATTGTTAGAAGGTAGCGGTTTGACTGAGATGGCGAACGGGAACATGGTTTGTGTAACATTAGCAACACATTATTAGCTGTTTGATAACATAGTCAAGCAAAAGGCTAATCATATTAATTACAGTTATGTGTCTGACGTTGTAAGGAGCGATACCATTGTGCAGAGTTTACCTTAGTAAATTGGCCGAGCCAATCTCTGAGCTGATGCGGGCTAATTAGCATATTCATGGATACACGTATACTAAATGAAGCAAGGGTGTAGAGTTGCATTCAAGCTATTTTAAGGCATGAAGAAATATTTTACACAGGCAAAACCTTTAAATATGTAATTTTGGTGATCAATGATGAGTTTTAAGGGATAAAATGATTGACTACAGGGGGACTTTAATAAAACCGCAGAATATAAAGGCATCGCTCTGTGCTGAATGGGCTGTTAGAGTTCACATCACAGCTAAACGAGACTTCCTCTTGGAAGAGAACCAAACCTCTCTCAAAAACCACTTGGCACTGCATTGGATAGTTCTACCAAAATGTTTAATTGTCATCATTTGTGATGCATACAGACCTAAATAAATCATTATTCACCAAACATTATATTTGTCTCAAGACCAACAAGGACCAGTTTTTGTCCATTTTGGTATTAATAGCTAAATTACCATCCACTGTATACAGACAAAAACAATCTTTTGTGTTTGATGAAAGTAAGAAGAAAATGTGGTTGGGGGTGAGTAAACAATGTCAATTTTCATTTTTAGTGAGTTATTCCTCTCTTTTTCACAATTTCTCTCAACGTGCATGAAGGAGAGTAAGTGGTAAAAAAAGCAGAAGGAAAGAAGCTCCATACTAATGATCTCAATCTCTCTCTCCCATGTTCATTAGCTAAACTCCACATCAAACACATGTTCTTGTCTTTTATGTCTGCAAATAGCTCACTGGGGCTGAGGATATAAGGGAGGTGTTCGCTCGTCTCTCTCTGAAGAACCGCATCTGTTTGGATAGAGCCGGGATCAGAGAGCAGGTTTGGTTTCAGCTGTGAAGGCTCAATATTTGGGCAGCTGGAAGCAGAGATATGCTGAATTTTCACATCATGAGGATTCATGTGCATAGAAACTATGAAGCACTTTTGATCAGATTTGATATACAATCACGGTATTTGTAATGAATTAAAAGCATGCATTTCTCATTTATTCTATTATTGTGAGCAAACAGGAAATTATATGTAAAATGCTGAAAGTTAAAAATTAAAATTGTTTCTCTAAATGAATACAATATATTTTACTTGGATGCACCAATATGACTCATTAATACCCAGTGATATTTAGTTACATATATTTAGATACATATTTTTTTAACAAGAAATATTCATAAATGTAAAATGCCACAATACTGTAGATGTCTATGAATATTTCTGAATGGTGCCATCAATAAGTCGAAGCAGAGTTATGAATCAAACCAGCTAAATTGACAGTATAAACTGATTCAAATAAATAAATTAAACATAGCAGTTGTAGGCTATATGTATATATGCTATTTAATTAGGTGTTCAAGCACAAAGTGCTGAAAACCTATTGTAATTGTAAGGATTTTTATTATTATTATTATTTTTCTTCTGCCGTAAAACGCATTGTGCAGCCCAAACTGTAAGTGCTGGAGCTCTGAAACTTTGCCAGATGGTAGTACAAAAATCGAGGAGAGGTTATCAAAGTATGAGCCCGATTGGCCCATAGGTGGCGCCACAGCAACACGATTTACTAAAATGGCCATAACTCCTCAACCGTTTGTCCTAGAATCAAGATTTTCACATCCCTGTGATCCCTGGTTCAAGACGAACAAGATGTATATCTCGGATTGTCGATTTGAGCCTCGGAAAAATTTTTATGGCCGATTTTGTCCAAAACCTACTTTTGCAAACTAGTCCCTGGTTTTTGGCTTGATCTGAACCAAACTGGCGCAGAAATGTTCTGTGGAGTCTGACTATCAATAGTTATTGAGAAAAAGTTGAAAATTTGCATTTGGTTGGCCATAACAGAGGCATGTAGGAAATGGTTCATGGCAAAATGCAGTCAAAAGCCTATAAATCCTGAAGAAAAAGTCAGAACTTCACCAAAATTGATGAGCATATGTGTCATAACATGCTGAGGAAGCATGCAAAGTTTCATGGAGATTGGACAAAAGGTGGCGCTATAACCGCCAAAAAGGTCGCTTATTATTAGGTGTTCAAGCACAAAGTGCTGAAAACCTATTGTAATTGTAAGGATTTTTATTAGGTGTTCAAGCACGAAGTGCTGAAAACCTATTGTAATTGCTATTTGAAAAAAAAAAAGACCTAAAACGCATCGTGCAGCCCAAACCGTAAGGCCTAGAGACTTGAAACCTGGCCAGGTGCTAGGGCCTCAGTTTGGGGAGAACCTATCAGAGTATGACCCCGATTGGCCCATAGGTGGCGCCACAGCAACACGATTTACTAAAATGGCCATAACTCCTCAACCGTTTGTCCTAGAATCAAGATTTTCACATCCCTGTGATCCCTGGTTCAAGACGAACAAGATGTATATCTCGGATTGTCGATTTGAGCCTCGGAAAAATTTTTATGGCCGATTTTGTCCAAAACCTACTTTTGCAAACTAGTCCCTGGTTTTTGGCTTGATCTGAACCAAACTGGCGCAGAAATGTTCTGTGGAGTCTGACTATCAATGGTTATTGAGAAAAAGTTGAAAATTTGCATTTGGTTGGCCATAACAGAGGCATGTAGGAAATGGTTCATGGCAAAATGCAGTCAAAAGCCTATAAATCCTGAAGAAAAAGTCAAAACTTCACCAAAATTGATGAGCATATGTGTCATGCCATGCTGAGGAAGCATGCAAAGTTTCATGGAGATTGGACAAAAGGTGGCGCTATAACCGCCAAAAAGGTCGCTTATTATTAGGTGTTCAAGCACAAAGTGCTGAAAACCTATTGTATTCGTTCCGATTTTTAGGTGTTCAAGCACGAAGTGCTGAAAACCTATTGTATTTGTAAGGATTTTTAGGTGTTCAAGCACGAAGTGCTGAAAACCTATTGTATTTGTAAGGATTTTTATTAGGTGTTCAAGCACGAAGTGCTGAAAACCTATTGTATTTGTACTGATTTTTAGGTGTTCAAGCACGAAGTGCTGAAAACCTATTGTATTCGTTCCGATTTTTATTATTATTATTATTATTATTCTCCTGTAAAACGCATCGTGCAGCCCAAACCGTAAGTGCTGG